TACGTGTATGTGATGACAAATTGAACTATATTTCGACGACAATGATTAATAATCACTAATACAAATGACAGAGTCCAAGTTTTGTGATAGCTTTGTATTTTTATCTCGAATTCGAGATAAGCGGGCACAATTATATGTATGTTTGTAGCGAGGCGGTCGAGATATCCGTACACTCGAGAAAACGGGGTTGGAGATAACGAGGTTCGACTCTATTCTAAAAAATACGTCTGATCTCGATTAGACGCTGGATGCAAATCAAACTAGAAGAACAGCGGTCGAGTGAAATAGTAAACTTTTAAGGAATTATTCCAATTTATAATATATAGTCCCTTATAGTAGGGAAATAGTTCAACCTCAACAGACACACAAACGACACTGTGCACGTACTATCTAAATTTTTTCTGACATCACTGAAATTGATTTAGGATTGTCACATATTGGAACTATCTGGACATTAAATTTAACCTTGTGTATCTTGAATAAATTTCAATCCGTGTCCAATTATTACAGGATAGCATTGGCTAGAGATGAGCAAAACGATGCAATGAAAGTGTTGATGCCGGGATAACAGGGATGAGATGGCTCTTGCAGAGAGAGACTTTGGCTTTGGGGGTGTTATTTGACCATATAACAGTATATACGATAGATACGCGATAAATCGCAAAGAACAATGAAAAACGAAGCGTGGTTTATTTCACGATAAAACATTGTTCTATCATCACGACATTCTGGAGATTCGAACATGCGCTTACAACTTGATGACGTCGTAAATTAGACGACGTTATTTTTGAGAGGGGGGGTGTCTTGGGAGTTATTCGCCATAGATGTAGCTGGGCAACGCAGATAAACGCAATGGCCAAACAATCGCATCCAAAAGTGGGAGGAATATGACAAAAAGTGCAGAAATCGACTTGCAATTATAAGAATATGCGGGAAAGACCAAATTTATACCTCCTGTTCATAATATGGACTTGTCCGACATTGCCGAGGTCAGAATCTATTCAGGTCTTCAACAACCCTTGCTTGCCGCAAAAGGCGACTATGCTTGTCGTAAAAGGCGACTAACGGGATCGGGTGGTCAGGCTCACTTACTTGGTTGATGCATGTCATCGATCCCAATTGCGTGGATTGATGCTCATGATATTAATCACTTGATTGTCTGGTCCAGACACGATTATTTACAGACCTCCGTCATATAGTTGGAATATTGCTGAGTGCGGCGTTAAACAACAAAGCAACCAAATGAAACTGAGTTATTGTCTCATTAACTGTTAGACATATGTACATAATCAAACAAGACAACAAAGGCTTCTGTTAAATTTTTTGATATAACCAAAATACTGTTAAGAGACGTTAACCAAACTCACTCACACTGTCATAACAATGTTGGTATATTTTGCAAACCTTGGATGTTAAACATCAACAGAATGCTTTGGCCAGTCTTGAAATGACAATCATCTTTCAAATTGTTGTGGTACGAGATAACAGGTATTTCATCATATACTCCCGGGTACCCATCTTACAGACTGCGGCCTATATATTTGGCTCCCATTCAGAAATCCATTTTTTTTAAATCAGGCAGCTCTGTTGAGATGTTTGACCTAAAGCTGTGGAGTCAAACTGAAAGGTTTGACGCTACGGCCCAGTTAGTGAAGAAAGCGAGGGTGACAGTTGATCGGTACCCAAAATATAGCGACTGGATTGAAAACATGGTACCAGCTGTACAGAAACGTCACTGGGACACACCGACACACATCCAATTCACAGAAACAGCCCAAACTGGAAATCCGGATTATGAGTTTCGACTTTGAAAACGGCAAGGTCTTTTATCTACATTTTCCATTGAGGATTATTTTCCGCTGCCCACATGAACAAATTAATTGAAGTTCAAATTTCAAAGATATGCACAGCAGGAATCGATTTTACGCGATTGTGAGGTTTTCGATGTAAGGATGTCCAGTATTTTTTTCAAATAGTATCTTAGTCCTTGTTACCGTCAAAAGTACATATGCTTGACGCCTATTGGAAATTGGAAATATTGTGAAGATTGCGCTTGTATAAGCACGTGTATAATCTCTACAGGAAACTTTTTTAAGGCTATCACGCGACAATTCAAGGAAGCTCTGAAGGACAGAGTTACGCATGCACGCTACCCGGCACATCTGAACTACAGTTGCTAATTAATCTGTGAGAATGTCCTTCAGGGTTTCAGTTTCAGGACAGGTGTCTCCGTTGGAAACCTTTCGTGTAATTGTGTCCGTTGTGAACTGTTCTGAAAGACGCGAAGTCCTGTTATCAGACGTGAAATATCGCATGGTTCATTGTAACGACATAAAAGCATCAGAGTCTTTTAAAGCAATTGTGAGTAGATACGAAGCAGACTTCTAAATACAAGCACCAAAACCCTTAAAGTTTCCCTATTTATAAGACATCATTTCCAAAAGTGGAGTCAATTGTTTGATTCCGACTATATCATGAGCATGTGTTTATCAATCTCTATAAAATCGTGATGATAATAGGTGTTAGCGAAATGGTGAGCGTATCCTGCACAGCCGGTTGCACGCGCCACAAACACAAGCAAAGGCAAGTCATTTTTTCACCTGAAAAAATCACACGGGAACATATGCTTCAAGTCAAAAGAGTCAAAATAGCATCGATCATTATTTTAGTGTTAGTGTTAGTGTTAGTGTGTTAGTGTTAGTGTGTGTTAGTGTTAGTGTGTGTTAGTGTTAGTGTGTGTTAGTGTTAGTATTAGTGTGTGTGTGTGTGTGTGTGTGTGTGTGTGTGTGTGTGTGTGTGTGTGTGTGTGTGTGTGTGTGTGTGTCTGCCTGTGCCGATTTATAGTGCTGGCAAATGAGATACCATGCGGCAGTTGGACGTGATGGTCACGTAGGTCATGTTGGTTATGATGGTAACGTACATGTAGGTCATGTTGGTTATGATGGTCACGTATGTAATGTTGGTTATGATGGTCAAGGAGGTCATGTTGGACGTGATGGCCATGTAGATAATGTTCGACGTGATGGTCACGTAGGTCATGTTGGTCGTGATGGTCATGTCGTGATGGTCATGTAGATCATGTTGGACGTGATGGTCACGTAGGTCATGTTGGTTATGATGGTAACGTAGGTCATATTGGTCGTGATGGTCACGTAGGGCATGTTGGTCATGATGGTCACGTACGTCATGTTGATCGTGATGGTCATAATTATGAAAGATTAACTAATTTAAACAAAGGCCAACAACTATTAACAACAATAAAGCAGTAAAACAGCCTACATTATGAAGGGGTGAAAACGCTATGTACGTCACAAGGTATACAGTGCCCTATATTATGAGTGAGTGGGTTAGTTGGTGTTAACGCCACTTATTCGATGTACATCACATACAATTACCATGCTAAATGGATCAATTGTATTAAGGATATATTGGATTGGTGTGGTTGAAGCTTTGTATGGTTAAATCAAAGTAGTGTTGGTTACAGACAATGGCTGCTGTCCACTGTAGAAAGTAGGCTTAAAGACCAGTTTATACAGAGATAGCACTACGATCAAACCATGTCATCAAGAAGAAAAATTGTACTCTGGTATCAAACCAGAAATTGGCATTGAACCGTATAGTTATAAAGATAATACAAACATGTTGCCATTGACTAAGGTTTAGAACTAGCAATCACTCTCTACCTGTTGAGAGGGAACGATGGATAGATTTATCCTATGTTGATAGGATCTGTCCATTTTGTGCTACTACTGTCGGTGACGAGTTTCACTACTTGTTTAAGTGTACATATCTGGAAACTGATCTTCAGCGCTTTCTTTAAAAGGGGTATATGTCAAGCATGATACTACAACAACAATTTTATACTCCTAAGGTCTCAGTGTTAAGAAATATCAACAGATTTGTCTCCTGTATGCTTAAAATATTCTAAAGTAAACGCTCAAAGTCATGCCAATGTTCTCTATTATTCAAATGACTTTCTTGTATTTACGTTTCACTGTGAGTGGTTATTTATTGTATAAACAACGTCACGGCAATGTCACAGCGATTCGAACCCACGATAATAGGTTCCTGGCGTACCCAAGGGACGCAACTCTGCAGAGCGCCTTAGACGACCAGGTTCTGACAATATGTAAATTGGTACCTCTGTGCTTAGCATTTGGCGACGAGTGTTTAGGCGATGACCCTTTAGATGACAATGCCAACTTACATTCCCAACATGTTAAAATAAACTTATTTTTATTTCAGGCGACACTGTTTTTGGACAATGTGTAAGTTTTATATTTTCAAATACATTAAAGCATATATTTTGAAAATGGGAATACATTTTTCTCCAATCACGCAATGCAAGGAACAAAACGAGGTTCACGATCTAATACTAATATACTAAATAAATATCAATGTAATAGTAAATATATTGATTCAAATCCGGACAAGCACCACTTATGACAAACGTACTTACAACGGGCCGCCCACTGCCACCATTGGCAACTGTCAACTGTCAACGTTATTTTTGTCTACCAGTCCAGATTTAATAAATGCGTATAATTTCAGGTTCTAGTGGGAGCCGAAATGTTATTTTTCTTACGTCTTTTTTTACTAACACATGATTGATCTAACAATCCAGAAAGACGCAAGTGAATGTGGAACTATGTCGTCAGTATAAGTTTTTACACAGGTGCCTCGCAAAGCACGTGTTTTATTTCAGTGTAAGAAAACGTGAACTGTGGAACCAGGAACAGTATAATGTCTACTTGGGAGGGGCTTATAATTACAAAAGCGACAACAACGAACGCCGTCATAGCTGCTGTTGACCTTCAAATCGGGAGTCAAATTGATTCCGAGGAAACGATTGCGTGACATCTGATGATAGATTGGCAAAGCGAAGATGTGGTTTTAGGTGATTGGGTTCTGGTTTGGTCACGTGGGGCTCGCCCTCGTGCAAAGTTCTCAATAAAACCATCGGTGTCCACTGGCATTGCCGCATCTTCCCAATGCGCTAGCTCATCTGCTGAAACGGACACTGACTATCAGCATTTGTGAAGAAATCACAACACTCCTCCGGACTTCAGTGTACAGTACTATAGTGAATGAGAGCCTACTGTAGTTTTATAATTTATTTTCTTATTTGAAGAATTTATATAAAAAAATGTATTTCAACGACAACGATTTTGAATTTTCGTCAGAGCTCCATACCAGATGTCAATCGTTCAAGCACAAGTCTCGCTCCCTGGTTCGACATTGTAGGAACCGAAGCCTTCGACATGTCTCCAAGGCATACACCGTACCATGTTCATTTCCCGACATATCTGCTTCCGATGACGAGAGCCGATTATGTCGGGTGCGATCTTTCAAGACGACATCGAAAGGTATTGTAAATCGGGGCGATTCTTTTAAGAAACGGAGCACGAACAGTTTAATGTCAGCTGGTAGTATCCTTGACAACGAGAAACAAAGGCTTACAAGCACTTCGTCAGATGTGTCGGATATTTCCCAATTGTCAACGATGAGCATGTGCACGACACTCAGCATCGGATCCTCCATTGCTCCGTCATACTACAGAATAGCTCTCCTCGGGGCCAGCGGTTCGGGGAAGACGTCGCTAATAAGACAGTGCCTTACATCAGAATTCACAAGTTCATACGAAACTACATCACGTAAGAACACTTCTATAATGTCACTGTTTTTTACTTTTTTATGGAAATGTGAAATTAATAACTTATGATAATGATGATGATGATGATGATTATTATTATTGATATTTCTAGCTGGTGTTTAGCTGTACGTAGATGATAATAGGTTTGCGTGTCAGTGAACTGGAATTATCTCCTCGATGACCATCTTGTCAATTACATGGTGGGTCTTCAAAGGTCAATGTGCCAACGGTGGCACCAGTGGTAGACGTATTGTATTTTTATGAAACCAGCGAACACGTGGCATGACAAACCATGGGTACAATGTTGGTCAGGTTTGGATATGGGGTTCGAACCTAAGACCAAAAGCACCTTACACCGAGTGATTTATCGCCTAAAGTCCACTTGTGTCTCCACTGTGATGAACACGATGATATCATCGTGCCAAATTGTATAACACTCATTATGTTTGAGTTTATTGTAATCGGTTGATGAACCCTGTGAATCAATTCAACATCTACAACAACGCCAGTGAGTGTAGAAAGAAAACGGTGATTATTACATGATCACGTCAATTGTTTCCACGCGATTCATCAATATGTTTGACAAGCCGAATGTTAACTCATACTAACACTACTTTTACGTCATAATTTGTTCACAGTTAAACTTATTTTGTTTCAGATGACAGTGATATTGAAGATGACAACACGATGTGTGTGGTTCTTGATGGAGAAGAGTCAATGATTGAGCTTGTTGATGACCTTATGGTGAGTACTACGTATTCAGTGTGTGGTTTGGTTTGAGTTAATTTAAATATAAATCAACTACTCACTTAGGAAATATTTTAAAATATGTATGTTATCAAGTCTTGTGCTGCCATGCTACTACCCGACACGGTCAGAATCCACGCCGTCGGAGTGTGAGGTGAGGTGAGGTGAGGTGAGGTGAGGTGAGGTGAGGTGAGGTGAGGTAAAATGGGGTTTAACGTCCAAGGTTATTGTCCTTTTATAGCGTGGTGCATGCACGTTTGTGTGTGGCTGCTTCTACTATACTGATGACGTTTATAGTGCCAGCACACTGAGATACCATGCCGCAGTTTAACATGAATACGACACTCAGGCACATTATACTGACTCCGACTTATAGTGCTAGCACACTGAGATACCATGCCGCAGTTTAACATGAATACCCCACTCAGAAACAGTATACTGACTCCGAGATGACCAATCCTTGTTTTAGCCTCTTAATGCCGATCGCCAAATCAACAACAAGTACCATCTTTAACTTCGTTTGGTATGACTCGCCCGGGGATCGAACCCCGGAACTTCCGCTCCCCGGGCGGACGCTCTACCACTAGACCACGGAGGGGGTCTTCTTTTGAGAACACAAAGATATTACGTCTACATTTTGTGACAATGGTAGCATGTAGTCGCTACAAGGCACTGGAACCAATGGTTTATTCTGATACGCAATCTCCCAGAGTTAATGAGTTTTAATGGCGATTTTAGCAATATTGCAACTACATAACGACAGGGTCGTCACACCCGTGTTGGGAATCGAACCCAGGACATCGGAGAGAGGAGTCAACGCTGTAACCACTAGGCTAGGCCACCTCCCTCAATCCCTGGGAAGGATACGACAAGAAGATTATACTGTTTCTATTTCGGGAATCATTCACTGTGATATATTTCTGTATTCTTACCCAATTACCATTACTTGCAATTTATAGACAGTATCCTCTTAGGCAGTACTCTGAGCTTATTGACCGAGCCGAGTAATACGTGAAGCAGCGACATGGATGCCGCTGGCTGTGTGTCACTCTGCGTTGCGCCAACGTTCCTGGAAATATATTTTCGCAGAGTATGAACACAAACTTATTAACATATCATGAAATATATTTCAGACAAATCGTCGGTCACTGCCTTGTTTACATGTACTAGATTAAAGACATGTAACATTTAAACTTTAAGGGAACTTGGCTCGAGTAAAATGGCAGTTTCAGCAAATGTTAACAGAAATCATTTTTGGCCAACTCAGGTTTGATTGAACTGTTAATTGAACAATATCTTACGTCAAGGCAAACAGGGTAATAATTATAACGCCTGAATTGAATGAGTGAGTTAATTCGGTTTAACGATGATTTGAACACTATTTCATTTGTATCATGACGTCTCACCTTAATGTGGGAGGAAAGCCCAAAGTGATGCAGGTCTCAGACATTCATCACTTCTGTGAAACCCACGAGCACGGGTATGGTGATGACAAAACTAGACACATAATCGGGGCGAACCGGGATTCGAACCCACAATCACAGGTTTTTGGTGTGCCCCCTGGACCCAACTCTGCACAATAGACCTGAATTGATTTCAAATGATACTGTTCTACGAAAATGTGACCATAGGCTCTTAGCGCCAAAACAGGAAATAACACTTTCCGTGTTTAGTATAAAGTTTTTAAAAACCTTTTTCTGTAGATTATGAAACAAATATTACATGAATATATATGTATGATTATCTGTTATTAATCCACAGCTTGGTGAATGCGAGGCTTTGAGGGTTGATGCATATGTCATCGTTTTCGACGTCACGAGCACGTCGTCGTTTAAAGTCGCCACCAGCGCTGTGCGGCAACTTCGAGTAGAACGGGGATGTGACCGACCAGTTATATTGGTAGCTAACAAGGCGGATCTAGCCAGGCAGAGAAACGTCAAAACTGCAGGTAAAGGGGTTTTTATAACTCATTTCGTCAGTTAGTATAATTTATCCAATTGGTAAGCGTCGATGGCTATTTGTTTTTTCTACTGTTCATGTTGGTGTAGGGTGAAGGTAGGGTGTGATGAAGCTGAGATTGCCCTTCGAGACTAATAACGGTTTTTTTTCAACGCCTGCAACGCGTTGTGAGTCTATGCATGCTACAATCAATGTGTAAAGTCGGTCAATGTGTAAAATGTGATTCACTTAGGCAACCACTTTTAGTCATTTGGTGATAAAATTAAACAAAAAAATGTTATCATAATAAAATAAATGGACAGATTTTTCGGTCAGTTTGTAGAATGACAGAAATATTTAAGCGTTTTGTAAATTATCTAAGTAAAAATTTCAGTCATTTACACATTGACTGTAACATATACACTTGGGCAGGAGTTAAGCTCTATTTCTTCAAAATTTTCGTACAATGTAAAGCTTTTGGACATATCTGCATATGACATCGAGTGATGTTTAGCTTCTTGCCAGGTGTTTATAATACTTTCGAATTCCGATTTATATTTTATTCAAAAAAATGGCAATTTGCTTTTTGGAAAATTGGAGACTAATTGCATTCTTTAATTCAGGTTTAATCGGGTTTGGGGTTTCTTTAAGTCTAAACTGTTCCCCCAGAATAAAGAAGTTATAGTTGCAAGTCCGAGATGAAGGGAAAGCGATAGTGATGAGATGAGTGATTGAGTGAGTGAGTGTGTGAGTTCGGTTTAACGCTGCTTTTAACAGTATTCCAGTTATATCGCGGCGTGTCAGCTTAATGTGGGAGGAAAGCCCGAAGTGATGCAGGTCTTAGACGTTTACCACTTCGGTGAAACCCACGAGCACGGGTATGGTGCTGACAAACCTAGAAACATAATCGGGGCGAACCGGGATTCGCACCCACAATCATAGGTTTCTGGCGTGCCCAAGGGACGCAACTCTGCACAGCGAATCGCGGCGCCTTAGACGACTGGGCCACCCGTGCACCCGAGTGATTGAGTGAGTGAGTGAGTGAGTGAGTATGGTTTTACGCCGCTTTTAGCAATATTCGAGCAATATCACGGCGGGTGACACCAGAAATAGGTTTCACACATTGTACCCATGTCGGGAATCGAACCCGGGTCTTAACCACAAGTGATGAGATGAATAAAAATCATATACAACAAGTCTAGGGTAGTGCCGGTATCAAACGTCCGTCACCATGCACCCCCTGCTAGAATGAGACGGTTATGTAATTGCCAAGGGGCTAGCAGGCGGCATAGGTTGTGTACTCCCTCGGTGAATGCACCATTATTATTATTATTATTATTATTATTATTATTATTAACAGATATCCGGACATTTGCAAGCAGATACGACTGCAAGTGTGTGGAGACGTCGGCAGCTCTCAACTACAACGTGGACAACCTGGTTGTAGGGATGCTAGCACAGATTAGAATCAAACTCAGCCCTTCAACCTCACCTGTAGCTACTCACATACAGGAGGAGGACCTCACCAAGAAGCTTCCAATGGACAAAAAGAAGAAAATACTTTCACTTCTCAGTCGCTTTTTCAAGCAGGCTAGACGTCGGGTTCGCTCATGCGAAAACCTGCTTCAGTAAGGATTTGGAGAACATCATTCTGCTCCACCCTCATCCCTGCAACACGCGCGATTACCTCAGAGGGTGTTATCATTGTGATCTCACAAACTCAACTCATGATAATGATTATGATTTACAATGTGTCGCTGAAGACAATGTTGATATCAAATTCTGCTGTTGGTAATTATAGCTAGGATTTGGACTGTGACGCTACAAACGATCGTAATGTCAAACTCTCCTTATGGCAATTGTAGCTAGGATTTGGTATGTGAGGTGAGGTGAAATGAGGTTTACCGTCGCGTCCAAGGTTATTGCACTTATATAGCGACGTGCATGTACGTGTGTGTGTGGCTGCTTGCACTGGTCCGGACTGATGCCGATATATAGTGCTAGCCCACTCAGATACCACACCGCAGTTTAACATGAATACCCCACTCAGACACAGTATACTGACTCCGAGCCGACCAGTCCTTATTTTAGCCCCATTAATGCCGAGCGCCAGACAGATTAACAAGTACCATATTTTAACGTCTTTTGGTATGACGCGGCCGAGGATCGAACCCCGGACGCTCTACCTCTAGAGGCGGACGCTCTACTACTAGACCACGGGAGGCAGTATGTGACACAACAGGCAATAATGATATAAGACTCCCCTTATGGTAATTATAGCTAAGATTTGGAAAGGGACACGACAGACACTTGTGATATCAGGTATTAGTCTGTGACACAACAGGCAATTGTCGTGACAGATGAAGTATATGCAATGACTATGCATAGCATATGCATTTGGATTTTATCCTTTTTAGTACATAATGTATATCACTGTTTATCACATATTATTACAAACCATAAGTTGGAATAAATCAAGAGTTCTATGAAGACATCCTGTTCATGTTCCGTCCATGTGCGATTATCTGTCAATTTGTACACTGAATAAGATGTATGTACCATCTTTGAACACTGTCTTAAGGATACCTGCTGGTATGGTCATGTGTGGCATTTCCATCCATTGTGAATCGTATATCTATTACTTATCTGTCGCCGATACCATACGGCACAGCCATGATATCACTGAACGTAATTTTCATGTACGGCGTTCTGTATTAAAGTGATTACTTCCATATTGCTTGCGACTTTCTTTTAACTATATATAACGTCACTGTATTGTAACCTTGTTGCTTCACGTTATAGATGTTATTGGACCTTCAAAATAACGGTAAAAGGCGACTATATGCTTGTCGTAAGAGGCCACTAACGGGATCGGCTGGTCAGGCTCGCTGACTTGGTTGATGCATGTCATCGTATCCCAATTGTGTAGATCGATGCATGATGTCAATCACTGAATTGTCTCGATTATTTACAGACAGCCGTCATATAGCTGGAATATTGCTGACAACAACAATATTGCAACAACAATCAAAATAACGCCCCCGCGGAGGGAAATACGTAAAAGGGCATCTTTCTTGTACATGTATCTATTAAGCATATCAAAATATCGAAAATATTGTGGTGAAATGGAATAGGGTTTAATGTCGCGTACAAGATTATTTCACTTGCATAGCTACACATATGCGCATGCACTACTGTGTGTGATTACCTGTACTAGTCCGGATTTATGCCAGTTTTATACATCTTTCCGAGGCAAGAGCGTCAACTGACTTTAAAAGTCAAGTTTCCACCCTGCCGAACTAGGCTGCAATTCCTGGGCTCGACCGTAGCGTAGCGACCTCTCCTATCGACCAATTAGCTTCCATCTCTCATATCACCTTATGGTTCCGGGGTAGAATAGGTCTTCAGTAACCCATGCTTGGAAGATGGTTTTATAGTGCACGCCCACTGAGATACCAAAACGCTGTTTAACATGGATACACAAATCGATATTCAACAGTTTACTTCGAGCCAACCAGTCCATGGTTTAGCCCCTTAATGCCGAACGCCATGCAAGGTAACGTCATATACCATCTTGTAACGTCTTTCAGTATAACTGGCCACGGGTTTGGAAAACTGACCTTCCTCTTTTCGGTTGGACGCTTTTTCTACTACACCACGGAGGCAGTTCACAACTCATGTGTTTAGAGGATAGCTACAGTGGCCTCTCGTACAATTATCTACCTTTCTGGTTTAACAATTGTTCATGGGTATGGTATGGTGCCATCCTAATCTGGTTGTTCGAACCCTTAAACAGATTATCCTGCAGCTAAGATATAGAGGATATTTCCTCTGTTGAGAGGCGCTACTCGTCACTCGATGAGAGAAACGTGATATTTCACTCGACAGATGAAATATCCTATTTATTATAATATGTTTTGTGTAGTTGTCTTCCGGAAAATATATAATTTCCTTACAAATGTAAAACCTTGAAACGTAAATTATCCCTACCTAACACACAGGGACGGATCACCACCCCTTGTATTTGCGACTTAGAAAATAGTTTCGTGATTGCAAAATTATAAAAAAATATACCCAAAAGTATAAAAAATATTTAGGGTCACGAAAATTCTCTTATACATAGATATGATCATATACAAAATCAACTTAAACAAAAACTATTCTTTAAAACTACGAGACTGCTGTTGGAAGCAAAAGAATACACATAGGTCAAATAACAAAAACGGTTCTTTGCGAAACGAACAGTCTCGATTGACGAGTTAAAGGGGAACTGGTCTGAAGCAATTCCCTGGGACTGGTTGTTACCTTTGTTTTTGTTTTTTCCCCGTGAGTACCCGGGTGATGCAGCAGAAATCTATACTAGTTCGATTCGCGACCTGTGCTGCGCCATTCGTAAGCGCATTTGTCACTTGTATTATGGTATAAGGGCGTATGGTCGCATTGATCAACAAAATGAAATACAGTTTTGGAAATAATAATTTCGGTAATGGTGACGAAGTTTTGATAAGTCACTTGCTTGGTAATTGTGCGATTTTCGTTTACACTATTTTGACTTGCAACACAAAGTAAAAATTTCACCTGAGCATTGCTTATTGTATCGCGTGTATATTTGTACAGTCAAAATATGTAAAAGTTTCACCTAGGATTTTTTTTAAACGCCTAAATATTCAGTTATTTTACAAATTGAATGAACAAATGTCCCTCTGTATTATTATGATAACGAATTCCAAACATTTTTATGTTTAATATAATCACCAAGTGACTGAAAGTGACAAGTGAATCACATATTACACATTGACTGTAACATATACATGCTTACAAAGGAAAAGACTTGTGAAAACAATGTCAATCGCGCATCGAAGAACTTCTCAACCAAGACGTAGGGGAACATGAATGATTCTGTTCAAAGCTACATCAAATGAACGAAAACAAAATGCAAATATCATAATTACATCCTGCTAAAGTTATATGTATAATTTTAGGCAGATTCATTGTTCGAAGAATGTATCCGTGAATATCCACATAAAAGAACAACATCCCATACATCTGCAGCTGTACAAAGAAGCTTATTGGATGTCGCGTGTCTCTGCAACAATCAAATATTTTAAAATATGTATAGCGTTTCGGGGGTATTATAACCCGTGTTCGTTTCTCAACAGATCACTTAGTTTGTTTCAGTTGTTTCACATAGGTGTCAAATCTCAAAGGTCAGCTGAGAAAGCCCACGTGACAGTTATTTTCATAATGTCCACGGTTCTTAAAAAATCCATTTGAGTTAGATAACAGTGAGCAATCATTCAACGTGTTATCGGTTAACCATTTGAACAAAGAATGTTGTTTTTTACATCGGCACTTCACGCCATGATATGAGTTTATTCAGTCTGCTTCAGTAAACCTACACATGTAAACACTTACTTTTGACTTATCCACTGTGCAAGATAACAGTGATTAATCAATGAACGTTTTTTTTCTGTTGATCCTTTGATGGCTAGGAATGATCTGTTGATTTACAAAAAGTAAATCAACTGATCATTCATCTCTTGCTGGACTGCCACATGCATATTACATAACACACATTTCACCTCACTTCAAACCTGGATTTAGATTGGATAATTACCCCAGACACAAGAAATGCCAAATGGGAACCTTTATCAGGTAATCTGAGTGGTGCTACCACTAATTATACCTGTAATAAATTCATTAACTGAGCATCAAGTGAATGACGACAAATACACAAGTGTAGGATTACACCAGAGAACATGGATGACAACAAGGGAGTAGTAATAGTTTTAACCACGCAATCCGAATATTGCCTCCAGGTATATTTAGCTGTCCTTGCAGACGGTAGCCCAGTCTCTTGTCACGCTCAGTTGCGTTGGCGAACAAATCGACTCACGGCAGCGAGTGAGCCCTGGCGGCCAGTGTGAGACAGCCGAGTAGAAGCCAGAGATCAGTGAGTGAATAACAAACGGAAAGAAGCGATATCAACTTCCTAAATGACCATCTGTCATTATTTTGCCTTGTCAATGCGGAACCAACGTTAAAAGGACGTCAACAGTTTGTTTACAGCCCAGAAACTTATGATAAAGGGAGATAATTTCAGGGGAAGTAACTCTTGCATGACACTAATTCCGTGAAAGCGTTATGTTCACTGCAGTGAAAATATCACTTTTCTCAACTTCAGAAAACTCAGTCTTTCATACTGAAGTATATAACAAACAAATATATCCACAAAAAATTAAATGTCCTGGACAGCGAGATTCCCTAGACATGTCAAGAAGCGATACGAATCTTTAAGGTACATGTATTTCAATTAGGATGGGTTTTAATACAAAACACATTTCTTTGCCCAACATTATAACGTAGCAATGTTCGTTTTTGTTATTTCGACTGCACAGTTTCCAGCACGTGGAAATAGACCAATGCAAACTACTCGTACATTTCTTATGTAGATCTATGCATACAGACATAGGACTGTGGCACAAGAGGGATGATTTCAACCTTCCAACAGTTAACTTTCCCCTGATGTCGATTCCCTCTTTCGCTGTGGAACCATCACCAGACATTCGGCCCAAGGACTAACAACAACCTGGAGGGTTTCCACAGTCGCCTCAATGCATCACTGAATCATCGTCATCCTAATCTCTACAGGTTCATCGAGATCATCAAGAAGATTGAGAAATCTGAGAAGACCAAGCTATCTCAGTTAGACCTAGGTGCAGCTCCACCAGCAAGAAAGCGTGTGTACAAGGAGATTGACAATCGACTTTCCAGACTGAAGGATCAGGTATCCCAGGGTGTCAAGACACCACTCCAGTTCTTGGATGCTGTTGGCAAACTTCTGAAGATGGATTAAGGTTGTGTCAGTGTGACAACCTCGATGTGAACTGTGATGTGAACTGTGATATTAACTTTAACTGAACTCTAAGTGGCGAATATGTTAAAACAATGGATTTAAGGGATGGATGAATTAAAATGTTGAATGAAATAAAGTAAAAGAGGGTATCAAGCATCTTGAGTCATTTCTTTTGTCTATGATAAGACAAGTCCATTTTCATGATATGGGTTAATTACCTGATTAACATGTGCAACCAGGTATGACATTGTAGTTTTAAGGTGTCTCACAACTGGGCTGTCTTACTAATGGGAGGAGACCCAATCAGCTACCACTAATAAGGTACAATCGAGTATGTGATTTCTACGTAGGTACCCAAGAACGCAATACGACTCTTGCTTAGAAGTTGTTGAAGCATTCAAGGCCTCAGTAAAGCTTTAAATAAGTATTATGGCAGACACGTGGAGGGCATTTCTAAATTTGTCCAAAATTATGTCCGCTGAAATTCGATATTTTGACTTGTACCATATGTTCCCGTATTTTATTTCGGGAGAACAATTGACTTGCCTTTGCATGTGTCGGGTGCCACCGGTGGGGCAAGACATATGCTCACCTTTTTGCAAACACCTGGTATCATCATTATTTGGTAGTGATTCATAAACACATGCTCATGGTAATGTCGGGCTAGTACAATCGAAAATGACTTTATAACTATATCAGTAGACATATTTATATCCCTGTGTAGTTTCGTGATTGTAATTTTTTTTAAAAATATACCCAAAAGTATAAAAAAATATTTAGGGTCACGAAAATTGGTTTTGCTGTTCATCTATTCAAATTAACTCACACCTTCAGTTAATGAATCACTCACCTGTTATGAATAAGTAGACTAAGGTATTGAGTGAATCGTTAAACATGTACATAAACCTGCACATGTTAACGAGCAGCAGGAAACGATTGATGTTCAGTGAAATTATGCAATCGTGTGATTCGAAGTCACTTTCTACACCTTCGTCCGAATCCATATCAAGATTTGAAACAATACACACCAACATCACGCAAGCATTCGAAACCATTAAGTATAAATGCTTATCTTTGCACCGAATTAGGATCTATGTTCGATATATCAAAGGACATTCCAAAGGTGTTGAAAAGCTACGTTACATGTCACAGTTCATAAGGCATTGAATCACAGATAGATCGGAATGCATTGATGAGATCACAGAACATTTATATCATATGCCTTCTCAGTGCATCAACCTGTATGTAATCACATTTGAAAGGCTGATTAAGTAAATTTCCGTTTCTTGTAAAGCTGGCCATTTTTTGGCTTTCCGTAATACGTAAACAAATGAACCTTACGTGTAGGTTTAGTTCCTCTGAAATTATATAAAGTGGTTTGAAGTGTCCTACATGCTCTCTTAATGTTTTTTTAAGCCTTGGTAACTCGACCATTTAGACAAACGATTCGAGTCACCAATTGTTCGGGACAAGCGGAGTAGCGATATTTTACTACAGCGTTGATTATGACTGTCGGAGCAATTAAGTTAGATTGCCTTAACTTCGAAGATGTATATCGCGTTCGGGGTAAGCGGATTATTCTATCACATCATAGTTCCGATACATATTCTGCATTTACAATAAAGTAACATTGTTTTACACAAAGTATTAGGATAACAGAATTTACTCGGTTCATTGAATATAATTATTAATATCCTTGAGTTTTATCCCATGAATTTTGAAATATGCATTATTTCGAAGGGTCAATCAGAAAGAGTTATGTCTATCCAAGCAACACGATTAAATTCTTTGGCCTTAAACACTATTTAAATATATGTAATGATTGCCGAAGTTCACTTAAAGTCGACCATGGGTTTCATCCAGCCACAGCTAGTGTTTGTAGTCGTGTCTTTTTTTATGGGTACCATTGCATTCATCCCTCCTCCTCCGGCTCAGATGTTCATAAATCTTGCACCTGTAAAACCGACGTCATCACAACAAGAGGAGATGCGTCTAAAACAAGGTAATTATTCATTTCTATATTTCGTGAAACATGTATTATAATTTATGTTAATCTGTGTAAACCATGTTGAGATATATCTGGATTATTATCAACCTTTTTAAAAATACCTAACTGTCCAAATGGGAAAGTGAGTTAGTGCAATTTGAGAAGAGATTGTCACATTTTACTTTTGGAGCACATGGGGAAATCATTCACCACATTTCAGCATTACGGTGTGTTTAATTGTATTCACGTTTTATGGGTATCTGAATCACATATGATAAAACGTTTATCAATAAGAATATATCTTTATAAGTGAGCTATGTTTTTCGCAAATAGAAAAAACACCGTGCACATGTATTTTTTCCTCAGTTTTAATTTCATTGATGACAAGCAATGAGGTTACAATGACGTCGTTTGGTAAAGAACTTCCACACACTTCTCCCATTCTGCTGTCGTAAAATGAGGGTTAATTCCGTTCTTGTTTCATGAATAACGCCACATCTTTGAAGAAATGACTTTAGTTAATGATTCGCGGCTGCAGTGTCTGATATCGGCGATGTGTTGACATAAATATGTTGCGAAATAGTCCCAATTCACGACAGATAGAGTAGCGCAGTGAAAACAAAACCATACCTCTAGCCATCTTTGAAATAACCGTGTTACCGTGTAAAAGGGATACTAGATTTGGACCATTTGGCAGTCCTAGTCTGGTTGCATCTAAGTAACCCCACCACCCTTTGTGTGAATACCAGCTCATATTGTTAAATGTATTCCAAACCGTCAGTTAAGGATTACCTAAGGCAATTTCCTTAGGCGGGCCTGAATATTATTGTCGTGTGTTTGAATCCCAGATTCTCACTGAGTATTAGGTTTGTCAGCATCATATACTAGTACTTGCTCAGAGGGAGGAGGTAAACGTCCATGACCTGCACAACTTCGGGCTTTCCTCCCAGGTTATACCAGCACGCTATGATAAAGTTGAACTACTGTTCAAAACGGCTTAAGAAAACCTCAATCACACTTAAAAATATATAGTGAGTGAGTATAGTTTTACGCCGCTCTTAGCAATATTCCAGCAATATCACGGCGGGGGACACCAGAAATGGGCTTCACACATTGTACCCATGTGGGGAATCGACCCCGGGTGTTCGGCGTGACGAGCGAACGCTTTATGGTCATGATAGAACAATGTTTTATTGTGAAATAAACCACGCTTCGTTCTTCATTGTTCTTTGCGGTTTATCGCGTAGCTATCTTATATTGGAGTATGGTAGACAATGGAGTATTAGATGGCTTTCTTTTTATACTGGCAGCAATAGTATAAAACCATACTTTGTCACTGACATCTAGATTTACATATCTTTCGAATCAAGAACTGAACATGTTAATACATGTGCCCCAGTCCATTGTTATTACACCTGATTACGGAGTACATTAGCTGGTTGGTTTGGATAGTTTTGACATCCGTTAAATGATATTATCTTTGCCTTGCAAAAACACCGCCCAGGGGTTTCAGGGTTAGAATAGGTCCCCAAAAACTTTCTTCCCATGGCGACTAAATTGGATCAGGTGGTCATCCTGGGTGTCTTGTTCCATGGGACGGTGCTCATGATATCAATCACTCGAGTCCATACAGAGTTCCAATAATGCTGACTGCGGCGTTAAACAACAAGACAAAAACATGATATGTAAGATTAATAAAAAAAACAACTTTAAAGTTTTGAGTTTGTAGTGTCACAAATAAGATACGATAAGAGTGAGCGAGTATGGTTTAACGCCGCTTTTAGCAATAGTCGAGCAATAACACAGCGGGTGACACCAGAAATGAGCTTCACACATTGTACCCATTTGGGGATTCGAATCCGGGTGTTCGACGTGACGAGCGAACGCCTTAACCACTAGGCTCCCCCACCGCCCAGATAAGATAAGATAGCCGACGCCCAGAAGGTATGAATTCATATTCAGATGTCCATTATTTTTTGCAGAAGAGATAGAGACTACCGTTCAAGCAGTGAACGCGTCTGTATCGAAGCTGTCAGAGGAGGTCGAGACGTGGAAACATAATACATCTGAAACAGGTGAGGTGAGGTGAGGTGAGGTGAGGTGAGGTGAGGTGAGGTGAGGTGAAATGGGGTTTAACTTCGCGTCCAAAATTATTGCACTTATATAGTGTGTGTGTGTGTGGCTGCTTGTAATAGTCCGGACTGATGCCGATTTATAGTGCTAGCTCACTGATATACCATGCCGCAGTTTAACATGAATACCCCACTCAGACACAGTATACTGACTCCGAGCCGACCAGTCCTTGTTTTAGTCCTTAATGCCGAGCACCAAACAGGGTAACAACAAGTACCATCTATTAACGTCTTTTGGTATGACTCGGCCGGGGATCGAACCCCGGACCTTCCGCTCTCCGGGCGGACGCTCTACCACTAGACCACAGAGGCGGTCTCTGATACAGGTAAATTACCACAAAGTATTAGACTCATTGCCATAACATCTGTTCGGGGACACGGAACCCGGATGGTCCAGTCGTCTACATGTAAGACGCCGCTTTTCGCTGTGCATATTTGAGATCCTTGAGATTCGGATGAAGATGCTTCCAGATTGTCCTCAATGGCTTGTTAGCATCTTACCCCTGATCGTTGGTTTCACCAAATTGGTAAAGGTCTAAGACACACATCAAGTTGACAGGCCGTGACATAACTGTTTGCAACAGTGATAAAAACAACAACATCAGTTTCATCGGTACTGTTTATGTGAATTGAAAATTACAAATATATCAATAAAATAAATCTCAAGGTTTTTCCGATCCATGCAGCCGACTGTATATTATATCATGTGTCTGCGGCTGTTATAAAACCTTTCAGTTAATATTACAGTTTATTCAAACAGAACTCGTATTGAATATGCAATCTCATTAAAATCAGGTCTCAGTTCTCGCTACCGCTAAATAAGATCTTAGGACATCACATTACAGGTCACATCAGAACGACCTTTAGCATGCTTTGACCGACCAATGAAATGACTACCAAGAAGTCGACACTAGCCAATCACAAAGCAGATTTCTCCCAATAGGGTACTAGTTTGAACTGGTGACTTTCATTCTAAACTACGCTTTCAAAAATATTTTGACAAATTTCTCGATGCAAATTTGAAAACCGACTAAGAGAAGATGGAATGTCCAATAGATGGCCGAGATTGCATGGAGATACTTTAAATGGGCTTCACAAAATCACTTCCGTTTAAATGTTTATCCCACTGAATCTTGATAGGCCATGATTTTGATGTTTTGATGGAATCAGTCGTACAGTCCGTAACTGGCGTTCGGAATACACATGTACAGTGTTAACCTTTTCGAGGTTACATGATCACCAAAAACATTCCGGTTGTGACTCTAAATGGTCTGATGAAAGGTCGTTCTGAAGTGACCTTTTAATGGGATGTCCTCAGATCTTTGTTAATGGGAAGCGACAACTCAGATCTGGTGTTAATGAGATTGAGTGCTTATATCGCTTTGTGGATCGGAGTAGAAATGTATTAAATTGAATAATTCATTCAACAAAATTGCATGTATTTGATTGACAATGTTGAGGCACGGGTGGCCCGGTCGTCTAAGGCGCCGCGATTCGCTGTGCAGAGTTGCATTTCTTGGGCACGCCAGAAACCTATGATTGTGGGTTCGAATCCCGGTTCGCCCCGATTATGTTTCTAGGTTTGTCAGCATCATACCCGTGCTCGTGGGTTTCACCGAAGTGGTAAACGTCTGTGACCTGCATCACTTCGGGCTTTCCTCCCACATTAAGCTGACACGCCGTGATATAACTGGAATACTGTTAAAGGCGGCGTTAAACCCAACTCACTGATTGATAATGTCCAATGACCAATGTTTATGTAACAATATTTCAATATTTAAAAAAAAAAAATTGTTGTTTTCGTTTTCTTAGATGCGGAATTGTCCTTAGAGTTGGAATCTTTGACAAATCAGCAAAAAGACTTCCAGAATCAGGTTACAACGTCCGTTGATAATGGCGAGAAGAAAGGTGAGGAGGAAGGTCACATCAATTTGGTTTATTTTAAGGCGGATGGAACACTTAATAATAATCTATACAGATATAATCGTTTTGGACATCACTAGAAATGATACCATCATTTGTTCTCTTTGTAGATAAGCAACTGGTTTCGTCTCTCGACTCCATTAAGACAGAACACGAGGAGTTCAAACGAAACATAAGCGAGGCAATTGATGATGCAGTGGCCAAAGGTTCGGCGATAACTGACTCCAGTATATGTGTTAAAGACTCCTACCTCAACAACAATAGAGATAAATAAGTTAAAATGATATGTTTATCAATATCACTACACACCTGGGTTTACATAAGATATTGATTCATTGTTACTTTCTCTCAATTGTTTTATATCTATTAAAGTGTCATGGAGAAAGATGCTGGCAGTGGTAGTGCTACATGTAATGCTATACGTGTGTGTGTGTTTGTGTTTGTGAGCGTGCTTGAGAGAGAGCGAGAGAGAGAAAGAGAGACAGAGCGTGCTTGGGTGTGTGTGAGGGAGAGAGAGAGAGAGCGTGCTTGAGTGTGTGTGTGTGTGTGTGTGTGTGTGTGAGAGAGAGAGAGAGAGATCGTACTTGAGTGTGTGTGTGAAAGAAAGAGAGAGAGAGACCGTGCTTGAGTGTGTGTGTGTGAGAGAGAGAGCGAGAGAGAGAGAGAGAGAAAAAAAGAGAGAGAGAGCGCGCTTGGGTGTGTGTGAGAGAGAGGGAGAGAGAGAGAGAGAATGACCGTGCTTGAGTGTGTGTGTGTGTGTGTGTGAGAGAGAGAGCGTGCTTGAGTGTGTGTGAGAGAGGGAGAGAGAGAGAGAGAGAGAGAGCGTGCTTGAGTGTGTGTGTGTGTGAGAGAGAGAGAGAGAGAGCGTGCTTGAGTGTTTGTTGTGTGTGTGTGTCTGGTTGACTCAGCAATATCATCCCACTCAGCAAGTCTTTACCAGTTTAAACGTATGAGATCATGCATGTGCATCATTTGCCATAATGAAGCCTTATGATTTTAGATGATGAGTTATCTTCATCACTTGTCTCGATTTCAACTGGACAAAACGACTTCAAAAAAGAAATAACACAGTCAGTTGAAGACGTTGTGAAAAAAGGTGCGATTATGTTAAGGCTGTTTTCTGAATGTGTAGTGTTGAACTCCTTTCCCTGTGTCTGGACCGAGGCTGATAGAGCCCAAGACATAGGCGTTTTGTTTGCAGAGGCGTCGCAGTGGTCATCTTCCCGAGGCAAGGGGGGTAACTGAGTCCAGTTTCCCACCATTGAGAACTGTCAATTTGAAATTGCGGCATGGTATCTCAGTGCGCCAGTCTATGAAACCGGCATTAATGAGTGCACGTCGCTATGTAAGTGCAATAATCCTGAACGCGACGTTAAACCCCAATTACCTCACATTCCCCTCTCTCTTTTAAAACAAGAGCCTGCTTTTTTGGCCCTCACCCTATGAAGCCCATGAACTCATAAAGTGAAAGTCAATTCTTATATTCTTATCTAACATCACTATTTTTTACCTCGAAGGATTGAAGGATCTACACACAAGTGTTATGTGTGACTTCATGTTTACACTGACAGCCATACAACAACCAGCTGTATCGCGGAATAAAATAGTTTCTTAAAAAGAGAGGTGACGTGAGCGGATGTATGCTCAACTTGCTTTACATGAACATCTGTTGTAGTTTGTTCTCAACAAATGTATTCAAATAATATCGCCATTGGATGAGAAAGATCTGTTAAGAATTACCCCAGTAAGTCAGTAACAATGACAGTCGTAAAACATTTACATCAAGTACAAGATGTCAAAATGGCCGACACGACAAACGTGACGGGAGAGATTTCCGAAGTCGTTAATGAACCTGTGGCGGTTACATGTGTCAGTCACCATTGATCAATTGGCCGATCATTGAAAGGTGATCATACAGATTTGTCAAATAGACACTAAGGAATATTCATAGAAGGCTGTAGACTGTGACTGTACTCTAGACACGGATCGAGTCGATACTACGATAGTTTTGATGTGCATTTCTTCGCTTTGTTAACTAAGATGGGTTGTAGCGGGTATATTCATGAACGGGCATGCGGTCAAACTCTCTGACGTTTCTCAATGTATGCTTAAACGTTCATTAGTTCAAGATTAAAGGGTTTAAATGATCAGAAACAACGCTCCTGTATGTATTCGTGCTAGGGAATTCCCAGGTGTTCCCCAAAGAAATGTGGAAGTAGTCCGTCAGTGTTTACGTCATTTCAAGAATACAGCCTCGTGAAAAACGTATGAACGTCAAATTGCGTCGTTCATGCACTTTTTCGCGGTCCCGTGACCGACCTTTCGTCCAATGGATAAGCCGTATATCGTTTAAACTTCACATTAAAAAAAATAATTCATATGACCTTATTATTGCCGATTGCTTTGATCTTTTCACTGAAATACAACATGATATATGGAAGTTGGGTACGAAAACATTTCATCACGTAGCTAGAAGCAAGTCTCTATCTGGTTTCAAAGTCCTTTCTAAATACTTTAATTTATTCCCCTTTTCTCCGAAAACCCCTTCATGGGAAAGAAAACACTCTCTTTTTTCCACTTCATCATATGTGTCTAGGTATGCCCAAGTGCAAAATCGGGTCCACTGGAAGCGTCAGTTAAATCTCTACTATGAGCATCATCAACTTTTTATCCGCGCCGCTTTGGACCCATCACTGTTAAAAGCATCTTTAAACTCTGTTGCATTTACTCAAGTAATATCGACTTCACTTCTCTCATTTTCTTCCTCTATGAATCTCGTCTTATTCAGATGTATATCTGAAACAAGACATCGTTTCAATGTTTTCATTATTGTTGTAGATGAAGAAATAGTTTCGTCAATAGATTCCCTCAAAAAAGAACAAGGGGAATTTAAAGGAACAATCACCAAGGCAGTTGAAGACGGAGACATCAAAGGTGCTGCAAAAGATAACGTCTGTACATGTATATGTAAACTGTAGGAGTACTCGAGGGTTTTCAGCAATAACATTGTATTTGAAAAGACGGTGTGAACACTAAGTCATGGTACTGAATTCTCTACTTACTTTAGAAACCTCCGTGATATAAATCATACCTAATTCTCTGTCAGTAGAATAAAAGAAACGCAACAAATCTAAATGCACACTAACGACTAAACTAAGCAGTTGAACATGGCTTTTCACAATATAAATATAAGTGGGGGACACCAGAAATGGCCTTCTGCCCGTGTACCATGTGAGGACTCGAACCAGGGTCGAAGGCGTTACGAGCACTTGGCTACCTCAGCGCCCTTCAAAGGTGATGGCAATATTAGGTGTCAGAAACGTGGGAACCATGGTCCTATAGGAAGGAGTGAGTTTTGATTTTACGCCCGCTTTTAGCAATATTCAAGCAATATCACGGCGGGGGACACCAGATATGGGCTTCACACATTGTAACCATGTCAGGAATCGAACCCGGGTCTTCGGCGTGACGAGCGAACGCTTTAACCACTAGGCTACCCGACCGCCCCCCTACAGGATGGACCTGTCAGTATCATCATATATTTGGCCAATGTACACATTCTAAGATTATGTATGTCAAGCCAATGGGAAGATCCTGTGCGGTGAGTTCTGAGGTTAAATTAACATATGTTTGGGTTGTAGAAAGCACATAATAAGACACAGTTTTTTGTAGATCCCAAGTACTCCATACTTGTCGTAAGAGGCCGACCAAGATGGCATCGGTTCGTAAGGAACTGTGATTTGCGTACCTTGCTGATTGTGTGCCTCGTTGACGTGAATCTTTGTTAAACGTCCCTGGATTGTGTGGTCTAGTCTTGATTATTTACGGGCCACCGTGAAACATGTTGGAATATTGACGTCGTTATTCACAGCAACATGTGGCATCGTTATTCACAGCAACATGTGGCGTCCTTATTCACAGCAACATGTGGCGTCGTTACTCACAGCAACATGTGACGTCGTTACTCACAGCAACATGTGGCGTCGTTACTCACAGCAACATGTGGCGTCGTTATTCACAGCAACATGTGGCGTCGTTACTCACAGCAACATGTGGCGTCGTTACTCACAGCAACATGTGGCGTCCTTATTCACAGCAACATGTGGCGTCGTTACTTACAGCAATATGTGGCGTCGTTATTCACAGCAACATGTGGCGTCGTTACTCACAGCAACATGTGGCGTCGTTATACACAGCAGCATGTAGCGTCGTTACTCACAGCAACAAGTGGAGTCGTTATTCACAGCAACATGGGACGTAGTTACTCACAGCAACATGTGGCGTCGTTACTCACAGCAACATGTGGCGTCGTTACTCACAGCAACATGTGGCGTCGTTACTCACAGCAACATGTGGCGTCGTTATACACAGCAACATGTGATGTTATTGTTTCTGTTGTGTGTCGATATTTGCTCAGCTGGGTTTTATTTCATTGATAGGTTTAACAGTCATCCCAATACCAAGTATACGACACTTTTTATGTTTTCCACGTGTTGCTGGACGTCCAATTAGTTAGGGGAAAGCTTAGGTTTATGATAATCATTACACAATGTCAATCAATTGTGGAATTTTAGGAACCGTTCAACGTCATTTCTCTCTTTTACTCTGTTATTGGATGCACTGGTGGTCAAGTGGTCTAAGGCGCTCACTTCATTGCGTCGAGTGCATATAATTATTTCCTTAACCGCGAAAGTCCGCTGGTCTTGGTTTAGAATACGCCCCGATTATGACCATTGGCCTGTTAGCATCATGCCCATTTGCGTGTGCTTCACTAACTGATGAAGGTCTGCGTCAATGTGGGCGTTAATCCCAGATGAAACTCACACACCGTGAGATAACAGACATACTGCTTAAAGTGTAGTTATACCCGGGAAGATATCCGGGGAAGAACAGATCTTCAGCAAACCATGCTTGCTGTAAAAGGCGACTATGCTTGTCGTAAGAGGCGACTAACGGGATCGGGTGGTCAGGCTCGCTGACTTGGTTGATGCATGTCATCAATCCCATTTGCGTGGATCGATGTGCAATACGTCAATTATTGGATTGTCTGGTCCAGACACGATTATTTACAGACCGCCGGCACATAGCTGGAATATTGCAGAGTGCGGCGTTAAACAACAAACAAACAAACAAAGTGTCGTTAAGTCAACTTAATCACTTGCTCTCTGTCATTCATGCGACATGTTTAATGGCTTACTTTTCTTCAATAGTGAGTACCCTACAGGAAGAAACTGGGCAAATCAAGAACACCCAAGGGGGACTGATAACGAAAATTGATGAGCTGACTTCCTCCCTGTCACAGACAGAAAACAAATTATCCAGTGGTGAGTTCCATACTAGACCAAAACTGATTATAGCGAATAACCGGTTATTTCACATCCATCAGCAAAAACCAAGGCGTGGCAATGATACTTTTCATTTGATTACTGAACTTCAGATATAGCAAACTGAGCTGAAAGTTTCTCTGTGTGACGTCATTGTTTTTGTTGTTTGGCGATATTTGCCTCATATCACTTTCTTTTGTACCTCTGCTTGTTTTTATTTAATTGATAGATATCATAGTTATACCAATACCAAATATACGACACTTTTTAAAAATATATTTTCAACGTTCACTTCATCGCTCATCAGCAAAACCCAAGGCGTGGCAATGATACTTTTCATTTGGTTTACCGAGCTGAGGATACAGCAAACTAAGCTAAAAGTTTCTTTGTGTGACGTCACTGTTTCTGTTGTATGGCGATATAAACTTTATATCACCTTTATGTAACTCTGCTAGTTTTTATTTCATTGATAGATATCATAGTTATCCCAATATCAAATATACGACACTTTTTAAAAATATATTTTCCACGTGTTGTGCGACGTCCAATTAGTCCGGGGAAAGCTTAGGTTTATGATTATCATTACTCAATGTCAATCAAGTTTGGGACCCGTGAAGATACGGGGTAGAATAGGTCTTCAGCAACCCATGCTTGCCGTTTCGTAATAGGCGACTGTGCATGTCGTAAGAGACGACTAACGGGATCGGGTGGTCAGGCTCGCTGACTTAGTTGATGCATGTCATTGATCCCAATTGCGTGGATCGATGCTCATGACATCAGTCACAGGATTGTCTGGTCCAGACACACCGTGAGATAACGGACATACTGTTCAAAGTGTCGAAAAGTCAACTAAGTCACTTGCTCTCTGTCATTCATGCGACATGTTTAATGGCTTACTTTTCTTCAATAGTGAGTACCCTACAGGAAGAAACTGGGCAAATCAAGAACACCCAAGGGGGACTGATAACGAAAATGGATGAGCTGACTTCCTCCCTGTCACAGACAGATAAATTATCCAGTGGTGAGTTCCATACTAGACCCAAAACTGATTGTAGCGAATTACCGGTTATTTCACATCTATCAGGAAAAACCCAAGGCTGGCAATGGTCCTTTTTATTTGATTAACGGTTGTAGGGAACTGATCATGAGCTGAAAGTTTGCGTGTGGCCTTTTAAAAAAATAATAATTCTAAAATGATTTTATTCACAGAAGATAACCGCGGCCTCATCGTCTAAGGTTAAAAACATCGCTGTGCAAATTGGAGTGCCTTTTAGGCGTGCCAGAATTTTCTAAAGATGGTACCAACAGCACCCAAAGGGCAAACGCTAATGGGATGCTATATGTTATATGTAACAAATATTTCTTGTAAATCAAATTCTAAACAGCGAACAGTATCATGACAATGTTGTGGTATTTTCTGTTTTGGAGAACTGGAACAAGGACTTCAGGCACAGAAGGCAACGGATGAGAAGTTGGAGTCAATGGTAGAAGACCTCAAGAAGCAGCTTGACGGTGAGTCAGTGAGTGGATGGGTGGGTGAGTGAGACGGGTTAAGCACCACTTTGAACAATATGTCAGTCATATAACGGCTTCTCATCTTAATGCTAGAGGAAAGCGATATTTGTCTTATTTTTTATTTGTGGATCCCATGAACAGAGGTATGGTGCTGGGAAAACAAGGATCATGATCAGGGAAAATCTGGGATTCGATCATGGGAGCTTGGCACGCTTAAGGGACTTGATTCTGCACAGCAAATTGCAAAATACGCCAGGTGGAAGACTATGATCATGGAAGAGGATTACAATATTCGCCTGTTGGAAGACTATGATCATGGAAGCGAATTGCAATATTCGCCTGGTGGAAGACTATGATCATGGAAGCGAATTGCAATATTTGCCTTGTGGAAGAATATGTTCATGGAAGCGAATTGCCATATACGCCTGGTGGAAGACTGCGATCATGGAAGCGAATTGCAATATTCGCCAGGTAGAAGAATATGATCATGGAAGCGAATTGCCATACACGCCTGGTGGAAGACTACGATAATGGAGTAAGGGAATATGTTTTTACCCCGCTTTAAGCACTATACCAGCAATATCACGGGCATCACATATTGTACCCATGTTGGAAATCGAACCCGGGTCTTCGTGTGACGAGCGAATGCTTTAACCACTGGGCTACCCTACCGCCCCTATGGTCATGGAAGCTTGTGAGTCTGACTCAAGGGTTTGTCTCCGCTGGTCTTTCCTGGAAACTTAACACCTGAAAGACTGGACTCCGAGTCGTGAAGCTCTCGTAAGCCTAATTAAAGTCTCGTAACTTTCAACCGAGCACTCGCGCACAGAAAACATTCCGTGTCATGAAACTATTAAAAGGATATGATTCTTAAAAAAATAGCTCCCCAAAAAGCTAAAAAATGACATTTCCTTACAACCTGAAATAGTGAGCAATAATCAGAACGTTCACGATCGGCAAAGTGTACCTGGGTAAGAGGGTGTGTTAAGAGACCTGCGTGAACCGATTGTTGGACCCTGTCGCAAAAAATATTTTAGGGGTTATGGAACCTTAGGTTTACGGTATTCTCATGAGTTAGAGCCTGACGATCAGCATTACCTTGATGTCCTGGTACAACCATACGCCGGATGCGCCTACACCATCTCTCTCTGATCACTGGCTGTCTGCTCTTGTAAGGCGCTGACAGGGTATGATAAAACTTTCTTTTTTACACTATTTCACATACCGTATTCGACGTAATAAGCGCACAGGGCTCTCTCAAAATTAGGAATAGGGGGCTCTTATTAGAATATTATTTTGGTGGAAAAAACAGAGTTGAAAGATAAATTTCGTGGTTTATGCTGACGGCCTGAACTGTTTATATACGACAGATATATTTTTCCATAATTTAATTGCCCATAATTAAGGGTTCATATAACACACGAGTGCGTATTATACACGAATAAATAAGTCTTGTGTACTTTGATCAATCGGAAGGGGTGGTAATTTGGGATTGTTCACTTGCCAATATATTAGCAAATATCGCCGTGGGCGCTTATTAGAGCGGGGCGCTTATTACGTCGAATACGGTAATAGTAACTCATAATCATCTTTCTGTCCTCTTGTTCACAGGCATTGTTTCAAACCCGGGCTCCAAGGAAACGACAGGTATTACCAACTGAATATTTGAAACTTATTACATAAAGAAGCCGTTTTTGTTCCAGCATTCAATTATCAATCTGGTTTCAAACTTCGGTAATGTCTATCCTCAAGTTTCCATAAGAACGTGATTTAACCGACTGAACTTCGCGTTTCATTTAATTTCCAAATCCTGTCAAGACGTAGTTTAATCGTACTGAGGTATCAGCATGTACATTGTTGACAAAGATTGGGTTCAGTAAGTTCTAAAGTACATTTACATTGGATCCATACATATAAGCTTATTGCACTTATGTAGCGACGTGCATGTACGTGTGTGTGTGTGTGTGTGTGTGTGCGTGTGTGTGTGTGCGTGCGTGCGTGCGTGCGTGCGTGTGTGTGTGTGTGTGCATGAAGCATGAAACCACAATTACCCCTCACGATACTGCTGCAACTTAAAAAATTGCTTCTGATCGCCCAAACGATATACTGTTTATCGTGTACTTCATTTCATCATAATTAACTCCTGTAAACTCAAATTGGATACATCCTTGAGTCACTTTACTGACGTATCTATGTGATGACCATTTGCAATTGTCCTCATATCACTTTCAAAGAGGACATAAAGACATGTTAATATAATAGATTGTTGACTATGTCCTATATACAGTAAACTACGGATATAACGAACTCAAAGGGACCACTAATTTTAGTTCGTTATAACCGTAGTTCGTTATAAGCATATGTACAGCATAACTACAGCAAATAGTCGGGACAAAAAAGTAAGTTCGCTATATCCGTCAGTTCGTTATAAGCGTGTTCGTTATAAACGTAGTTTACTGTATTTATGTTTGTTCTCAGACAAATCAGTTTTGATCATGTCCCAAGACGAAAATACATTTACCGTCCCTCCTTGAATTGACATGAGTTGATTGTGCCAGTCCGGTTCCTTAAGATGTCTTTATGATTGCTGAAAGTTCCTGGGCCCACTTGCACAAAGCGGTCTTAGCGCTCAGACCATTGTAAGCCTATGTTAAAGTGTTGGAGTTGTTACGATCATCTTAGCGCTAAAGTCGCTTTGTGCATGTGAGCCCTGATCCTAAACATGTCATTTAAACAAATCCTTTTCAGGTACAGGAAGAAAGTCATGTAAAGACATCTTGAGCTGTGGACGCCAATACCCGGACGCTGAGTACTGGCTATACCCGCCCAGGCTTGGGGGGGAGCGGATAAAGGTGTGGTGTCATGACATGGCGGGCACCCCACAGGAATACATTACTCTACCGAATGAGAATCATGGCGACTTTCCAAATAAACAGAATTTGAACTGTCAGTCGAAGAACAAAGGAGGAAAGATCGTTGGCAGTGATCTACAAAAAGTTGGAAAAAATAACTTCGAGAAGATTAAGATTGACATTAATGTGAGTAGATCTGAATACACACTGAAACTAGGAACATAAACAGGGATACGGGTGGCCCAGTGCAGAGTTGAGTCCCCTAGGCGTGCAAGGATCCTATGATTTGGGGTTCGAGTCAGAGATTCATTCATATTATGATTCTTGGTTTGTCAGCGACATGCTCGTAGTCTTTGGTTTCACCAAAGAACATTCCCGCACACAAGGCTCCGCTCAACCTTAGCTAGACGCTGACTGTCGCTATATTAGGCTATCGTTTTGAAAATGATAACACATATCCCAGTTATGTGTCGAAAACCCCGATGGTCAATAGTGACTCGATCGGCTATAGACAAGGGCAACGCCATGGTTGTTTGAAAACACTGAAAGTAGTACCTACCTAACCTATTACATTTATAAATTGTCAGTAAATAACCCCAGCGGATACCTATTTTATCATTGTATGGGTGACATGTTGTACAGATAGTGACAAAAACTGCAAAAATTGATTTTTAACAAGCTGCAAGTAGGTGAGTGAGTATGGTTTTACGCCGCTTTTAGCAATATTCCAGCAATATCACGGCGGGGGTCACCAGATATGGGCTTCACACATTGTACCCATGTTGGGAATCGAACCCGGGTCTTCGGCGTGACGACTGAACGCTTTAACCACTAGGCTACCCGACCGCCCCAGCTGTAATTTGTAGCAGTTGGTCTGAAATAAATCCTCAGAAACAATAATACATATTTTTTTTATTCAGAATGACAACATCTCCGACCCGATCTGTACCGATATCGATTATTATTCTCCGTCCATGGCTGCCAAAATAGTTGTTCACGGTGACAGCACGATTTAGATAAATGCATAAACCCAGATCTGTAATTAAGTTTTGCATTAATCAAAGTTAACATGCCAGTTACAAACGTTATATGTAGAAATGAAAAAGAAAATTGAGTCAAATCTCAAAATGGCAGGATATTTGCAATAATGAGTGAGTGAGTGAGTGACTAAGTGAGTAGGGTTTAACGCCGCTTTTAACAGTATTCCAGTTATATCAGGGCGCGTCAGCTCAATGTGGGAGGAAAGCCCGAAGTGATACAGGTTTCAGACGTTTACCACTTCGGTGAACCCATGAGCACGGGTATTTTTCAATACTGAAAGGCGACTAACAACTGGTCTAGGAGGAGGTTCGGGCTAAATTATGAGTTGCTTTTGTCAGTAGCGGGGTGAATTGGAAGTGAAGGTTTGTACACCGCGAGGTGAGGTATGGTGAAAAGGGGTTTAACTTCGCGTTCAAGATTGTTGCATCTTCACAGCGACGTGTATGCACGTGTTTTACATGAATACCCCACCCAGATACATTATACTGAAGCGAGCCGACCAGTCCTTGTTTTTGTCCCTTAATGCCTAGCGCCGGGCAGGGTAACAACAAGTACCATCTTTTAACGTCTTTTTAATGACGCGGCGGGGGATCGAGTCCCGAGCTTCCGACCTCCGGACAGACGCACTGTCCAATAGACCACGGAGGCGGTCTTTGTACACCACGAAGCAGAAAATGGATGGATGTATACGAACCTTCAGCTCGTAAAATCTTGTACACCCCGATAGTGAGGAACTATGGGTTATGAACGTCGCGTTCCAGATTAGTTCACTGTGTGTGTCTGCTTGTTCCAGTCAGGTCTTATGCCGGGTTATAATTAAGAGGAGATACCATACCGCAGTTTAACGTGGATACACAACTCAGACCCATTATATACCGTCTACGAGACGACCAGTCCTTGTTTTTTTCCCTCGTGCTCCAGGCAGGGTAACAACAAGTACCGTCTTATAACGTCATTGTTATGGCGCGGTCAGACTCGATTATTTACAGAAGGCAGTCATATACACGATTATTGTCGAATATGGCGTTGAACAACAAACAAACAAACAAATAAGCTGAGGGGCGGTATAAGGACGGTAACTAAAGCGTAGGTTGTGTCAGCTGTGGTGTCACATCACTATTACGAAATAATATGTATGTATTTGTTCACAAGACGAAGATAATCAGATTGCTAGATTTAAAAAAAAGTAATGATAAGATATACAGTCGAGTCTCGTTGTATCGAACTCGTGGGGACCTAGGAGAAAATCGAGTTATCCGGGGTTCGGGGTAATCAACAAAGTGAAATTTCGAAAACCAAACATCATGTCATAAGAAATTGCTACCAGGACCGATCGCAACACTAGATTTCATAGTAAGTTACATTGCCTAGGATGCTGGTATTGAAGGGGAAGCTACTCAGGCATATAATCAAACTCACTGTCACCATCCTTGATTGGCGTCAGTGTTTAAGTTATATCTCGAGTAATAGATTCACTGACATAATCTTAATTATAATCGTATATAAAAACAATTGATGATCAGAAACATATTTGAGCATAACAATATCATGTTTACAGTTTTAAAACACGGGCTTTAGGCCACCAGTACCTCGCTGGGGATCATGGGGACTTACAGTACCTCTGCTTCCTGCATGATACCCCAGCAGGATTTACGTTATCAATTTAGCCACTGGTGGTTGTGCACAATGCCAGCCAATATTAAAAATAAGTTCGAGACAAACGGATTTCGACACAACGAGGTTCAACTGTACCACCTGATACCATAACACATTTCTCTAGTTTCTGACTTTGTTCGTAGACCATGGTCGTGGATAGAGAGGACAGAGGGTTTGTTGGCGGAAATGGTGCTCGTTACCCATACGGCTTCGCGGGTGACTGCTACAGCAACCACTACGGTGGAAAAAGAGCTTGTGGGCCGTTGGGATCCTTCAAGATTGACACTCGTGGCACTGGTCTCATAGTTAATCCCAATGTGAGTGCATATTTTTGTTGTCAGACCATTACGCTGCCGACACTTTTTTCAAACCAAGTCTACTAAAAATAATAACAAGAAACTGAACAGTTATCTCAAAGGTCGATATACCGTAAGTACAACTACATGTATAGCCCACTGGGATGGCTTAATATCGGGATAGAGAAAACATTACACTGAATAGCATGATTGGTTGGTTGGTTGGTAGGTTGTTTAACGCCGCACTCAGCAATATTCCAGCTATATGACGGCGGTCTGTGAATAATCGAGTCTGGACCAGACAATCCAGTGATTAGTATCATGAGCATCGATCATGATGACATGCATCAACCAAGTCAGCGAGCCTGACCACCAGATCCCGTTAGTCGCCTCTTACGGAATATCATGAAGATCCCAGAATGTGTCAATATCACAGTTAGCATTTCTTTTTTCATAGCGTTCGAGTAAATTTTTTTAGTTTATATATTATTATATTTGAACGCGCTTTTGATTTTGATCCAAGAGAACTTTTGTTAAAATCTTTATTTAATTATTGTTAAGTCATACTGGATGTAAACCATGTTGCACCAGGGTATAAACCATGATATACCAGAATGTAAACCATGTCATGACGTAAACCATGTTCAGCCATATCATACGAGGATGAAAAACCATGTTATACTACTAGTAGGATGTAAACCATGTTATACCAGGATGTAAACCAGATTTCACCAGGATGTAAACCATGTTATACCAGGATGTAAACCAGATTTCACCAGGATGTAAACTATGTTATACCAGGATGTAAACCACGTTACACCAGGATGAAAACCAGGTTTCGCCAGGATGTAAACTATGTTATACCAGGATGTAAACCACGTTATACCAGGATGAAAACCAGGTTTCGCCAGGATGTAAACTATGTTATACCAGGATGAAAAGCAGGTTTCACCAGGATGTAAACCATCTTGTACCGTGCCTTCAGCTTACCTGGAAGGCAGCTGGAAACCAGCCCTTCGCTGAAGTTCTGAGGTCGGAGAACAACAGGTTGATCAGGGTGGTCTGTGGAGGAGGGTGTGGGTATTGTGAACCTGTTGGGAACATCGTCCTGGAGAGGATTGCATCTGATGGTAAGACGAAAATATTTTTATCTTTGCATTTATATACCTTCACTACATTAAGAATGATTTCGCGGTAATGTATTAAGAAATTGGCATACAACAGAAATTATTGATTATACAATAGCTTGTGGTTCATGAAACACGGGTCAGTGACGTTGGTCATTTTGAACAGTATTTCAATTTTCGCTTGTCCGCTTAATGTAGGAGTTATTTAGTGAGTGATTGAGTGAGGTTTAACGCTGCTTTAAACAGTAAATTCAAGTTATATCGAGGCGTGTCAGCTTCATATGATAGGAAAACCCGAAGTGATGCAGATCTTAGATGTTTATTACTTTGGTGAAACCCACGAGCACGGAAATGTGCTGACAAACCTAGGAACGATCGGGACGAACCGAGATTTGAACCCACAATCACAGGTTTCTGGCGTGCCCAAGGGACGCAACTCAGCACAGAGCCTTAGACGACTTGGTCACCAGTGCCCCACTTAATGCAGGAGGAAAGCATGAAGTGGTTCAAGTCGAAGACGGTTACCATGCTGGTGACACTGGACCAGTTTGGTTCTGACGAGCAAAACATTTTTTAACCAGGGCGAATTTAGAGTTGGAACCTACGAACACGTACATGGTTCCGTCAAACCGATCGTACGCAGTTTTAAACAGCGACCCGCTGCGCGTTGATCTGTCTCACAGTTCCCGAACACTATTATTTTGAAATGTCTAGTATCTGTTGTACAAACGTCGCTATGAATTTGGCCTTATCATTTATCCATTTTACAATGTGATTATACATGTTTATGTATAACTAGAAAGAAATACTACTAATAAAAACATATTAATAAATAATTATGTTCTCTTCCATCCCTCCCCTCTCCCCAGCCCTTACTGTAATGCAAAACACTAATTGAAGCAAGTCTAGATTTCAATGAATCTACCGTCTCACTGGGGCTCCTTTTTAGAGACTAAGCGTTAGTCTAGGTGCATCTATCACACTAATTGAAGGAAGTCTAGATTTTACTGAATCTACCGTCTCACTGGGGCTCCTTTTTAGAGACTAAGCGTTAGTCTAGGTGCATGTGAAGGCACGCATTTACTGCCTTGTCATTTGATCTCTAGGAGGGTCGGGTGGGGTGTTTGTTTCTGTTGGTATATGCTTTAGAAGGGGTAACATTGACTATCCGTATCTTCTGTCTGTACTTATGTTGTACAGTGATACAGTTCCCCTACAGTTTTTCAGATGTAACAGGGGCGAAGACCCGGGTTCGATTCCCGACATGGGTACAATGTGTGAAGCCCATTTCTTGTGTCCCCCGCCGTTATATTGCTAAAAACGGCGTAAAACCATACTCACGCACTCACTCACTCAGATATAACACAATGTGTGTAGCCCATGTTTGGTGGCCCGGCCGTGATATTCGTGGTATATTGTTTAAAACGGCGTAAAACCATACTCACTCACTCTGATGTAACATTTCATTTTTTGAAGAGTATGTAGAAAGTGCAAAAACTATATAGTGAATATCTTGATCTCTGCGAAAATAACCACCAACTTTAATCAGATACATGATTTAACTGTATTTGTGTGTTTCCATCAGGAATTAGTGTGTGAGTGAGTGAGTGAGTTGGGTTTAACGCCGCTTTTAACAGTATTTTAGTTATATCACGGCGTGTCAGCTTAATGTGGGAGGAAAGCCCGAAGTGATGCAGGTCTCAGACATTTACAACTTCGGTGAAACCCACGAGCACGGGTATGGTGTTGACAAACCTAGAAACATAAACGGGGCGAACCGGGATTCGAACCCACAATCATAGGTTTCTGTCGTACCCAAAGGACGCAACTCTGCACAGCGAATCGCGGCGCCTTAGACGACCGGGCCACCCCAGGTTTGGTTGTATTCGCATATGTGATATGATACTGTGTGTCTCAAAATCATATTTCTTTGATTACAGAACCCGTGTTTGAGAGTGCGGCTGATATCATGTGTTAAACCACGACATGTACTTGTTGAAATAACTGGCAGTACATTCCAAAACAAACATCGTCGTCGACTAGGTGTTCTGTTCTGTCTGAAATGGACTGATGCAGTTTCACTTAAAATATGAATATTTCTGAAATAAAATCTACGTTTTCCCGTCTTGTTTTTATATTACTTAAGTGCAAATCTTATACAGGTTATACTATATAATGAGTATGCTAGGGAACGGTGGAATAGCCTAGTGGTTATCGTGGATGTGTCCTTCAAAATCGGAGACATATTACGCTGTACATTTGAGGCAATTTTGGGATGAAATTAAGACTAAGAAGACATTAGAAGCTGAGAAAATGTGTGTCCTCCTTCCATCCGGAAAACACGTCATATCGTGACACACGTCAGTCGTTGCCATGGCTACAATCCACGAGTGTGGCTTCAGGGCAGTTCAGGGTAATTTGTCAAAAAAGAAACAAAGTACATGCAATCTGAAGTTTACTGAGAAAACAATATGTGATAGGCTGGACTTCCTCAATGATAACATCTATGTAAAGAACCGGGGATAAGAAGTAGGTATCCCCAAGGGTACAAATTCTGTTCCCCTTCTTGCTTCTCTGTTTCTTTATGCATATGAATCGGAATTTTTGCTCGTACAGGCAAAGTTAAAACAAGGTAATTCGGCCTAGAAGTTGACTTAACCTTCCTGTATATCGATGAACTGGCATTGTTCAATAACCATAAAATAGCCAATTCCTTTCCTCTATTTTACCCATCTGAACAAGAAATAAAGGAGACCAGTGCGACCACTTCATCTGTTCATAGTTAGAATTGTTAGATCAAGACTGACAAAACACTTGTATATAATGACAATACAAGAGATACCAGTCTAGATTTATTTTATCCGCCGAAACAGATGAAGATTTGTCGTTAAAGTCATTTTGCTATTTGATGGCTATTGAACAATATCAGATCATCGTTATATCTGAAAGTTTAACTTACATATATATATATTGTGATTGGTGCCACCGGTGGGGCAGGATAAGGTCACCTTTTTACGAACACCCAGTTGCATCTATTTTTTCGTGATTCATAATCACATGCTCATGATATACCGGTAGTCGAAATCGTACAATCATCTCGTCCCTGTCTTTAGTAGACATTTCTTATGAATATGAAATAGGTTTTCTCACTTTGATTTGAACTCTTTCAGCATCCAACTTATACTCCTGACCTGTCCCCTTTAGACTCCAATCTAGTCCTAGACACAAAGAAAGCTCTGCCTGTAAGTCAATGGGTCAAGTATGTGGGGTTTAGAAATGCTTTCATTTCTGACAAATTGTGCGGAAATAAATTTTGTTTATAATATGAGTTTTCTTCTGATGAAATTTCCGAATCTAGCTGGTGAATCGTCTCATAAAACATAGAAACATAATCGGGGCTAACCGGAATTCCAACCCACAATCATACTAACCCTCCAAGAAGCAAAGAAGTGATGAGTGATGAAAAGTGTATGAATGGATCGCTGAAATTCAGTGATTACACCAGGTGTTCCTGAAAAGGGTAAACATGTCCTGCCCTACAAGTAGTATCTACCATTAGCACAAACAATATGCATATATAAAATTATGTTTGTTTGTGGCCTGATGCAGTACAGCACTTCTCCTGCCATATGGCTGCTCATGCTCAATCGAGTCTTGACTAGACAATAAAGTGAACCGATGGCGTATTTACTGATGTTGTTGGCATTATAAACAAAGTCAATTTTGAATCATGAGATTCTGTTGCTGACAAGAAATAACAAATGATGAATAATTCTAAGCTTAGGAAGTAACTCGGGTGATTTCAGTCCATCAGCAGAAACATCGACCCAGTTCAAAGAAATAAATAACGTCATTGCCCGAGAATAATCAGTCTAGATTATCAGCCGAAACAAATTCCATTCTTGTACTTGTTGAAGTAGTTGTTTCACTACATGTCCTCTCCCAACCCCAGTCTGTGGGATTAGGTAATGTGGAAAAGACATGTTTTCGTGCAGGTCCAACATCTGCCAATAAATGCCCTTTTGCCATGATTGTGTCCTCTCAGGTCTAGAATTTCAGACAAGATTTGATTCTTATATCTTGTGTGCACAAATACAGAATTTTAACCAAGTTTGTGTAGTCAATACGAGTCACAGATTCCGCAGATCTGCCATGACAGATTGACATTAAAGATTTCAGCCATGTTGCAAGCCATCTTGGATTTTCTACCACAAGGGGACGCTAATGAGCAGGATCTATATCAAGAAATGGTTCAATGTATTTGTGTGCCAAGTTTGGTGCTCTTAATCCAAAGTGCATGAGTTTGACTAAAGCCTGCATTAACCACATAACTAAACATGCAAATGATTTTAAAAAATCATATTTCCCAAGGCAAAAATGGACTTTACGAACCCTGAAATAGTACAAATTTTTACCACAAGTGAAAAGTTTACCAGTAAACATGTTATATGTATGTAGGTGGAAGTCAACACAAACCATTCAAGACATGCTTTGGTATGACATGGGACCCTATCTAAATTTTGTATGGATACGTAGTGGTATGATAAAACATGATCCCATCTAACTTTTGCAAGAGCTTTAATGAATTCAACATTGGTTTTCTTACTAAGTCAGCGATCCTGACCACCTAATCCCGTTAGTCACCTCATACGAAAAACATGGGTTGCTGAAACTCGGATATTTCATATGTGTCACACAACAGATATATTGTTTTATAAACAATATGACTTTTGTGATAACCATGTTGAAAAAAGTAATTTCTTCCCACCAAATGTTATATATGCATGGATGTTCTACGGCAGGACTATGTGACATCTAATACTCTTTGTTATATAAAACATAAGACATGTATCACAAAATAGTTTATTCAAATGTACACATAAAACGAAAACATAAAAACACATCCCCCCCCTCATGATCAGATCTACAGGGGTAAAATGCACAACACAAACTATGCCATTTCCATAATAATAATTAGTACATACCCATTAAATCTTGTCATATAAATAATCAAAGAGCACTGACCTTTACAAAAGCAGCACATGTCATATTCAAGTATGTATTCATTTGAGTTCCATGTGCATCAAACACAAAATTCCACATCCAAACAAAAAAGTATAGAGAATACAAAGCACAGGAGTTGACAAAAACTTAGTTTCTGGCCTACAGAAACAATTTCAGGTCAGCAAAGCAGAGAATATTGTTTATGGAATCACAACTGTATCAAAGTCTTACAATTCCCATGCAAATATAGAAACACAAAGCCGCATTCCTCCAGCTACATTAATAAGAAAGTTCATCCATCTTAATGTCAAATCCTAAGGGTTATCACGAACATAACCCATTTTGGAGATGAAAAAATAAACAATCAGAATAACAGCTGTGTGAAGCTCTTCATCAAGATACAGATGTCACATCTTCATCAATATACAGTAGTAGCAGAAGTAGATGTACATCTACAACACATGTAAAGTTTGACCCTTATCTTGATCATGAAAACCCCATCAGTCAACATGACCGAAACTGAAGCCAATGTCACAGCTTACTTTGGAAGCTGGATGATAGGTACTCGGGCGTCAGTCACTTCAGGCTCCGGTGCACAGAAAATTCAAAACCAAAATAAAAAATATTCAAGAAATTTACCTAATTTGAGGATTAAGATTTCCAAGCAATTATCGATCAATATCGATAGTGTCCTAAAGATCACAAGCTTCTTTTGGTAGGTGAGCTAATAATGTAATCTGCAGTTGGTTTCAGGAAGGTCACACATCTGTTCCAACTAGTTAGGCTCGCTCTCATGTCTGGCCAAAGCTTCAGGAACGAAAGTCCCAGCCGGGCCCTCAAAATGGTATCTGGGGGAAAATGGACAAAAATATATACATCAAATTCTCTCAGCATAGAATAAAAGTCAAACTGATCTTGAACATTCTTCTTGATTTTCCTGAAGGCTTTGATATATTTATTCAAAACCGAAAACTGTTTTAAATGAATTTTCAGGTGGTATAAAGACATTTTCCTGAGTACTATGACACTGGCAGGCAAGTCCTGCTGTAACTGAGATATGGCACACAAGATCAGGTCAAGTACTGGTCATATCACCACTAGTATCAATCTAAAACAGAAAATGTAACTTCTATTTTTAGAATCATGTCATACAAACAGAATTTTTAAAAAAACCTGAGGTGGTGGATGAATCCAGGGCATTTATCATAACAGAATGAAGACTCAATGCACTGGATAATTGATAATAGTCAGTCCATGCACCTACCCAAAGGAAGAGGTTGCTGGGGTGCTCTCCATGTTGAACTCGGCCACCGGCACACCCCTGCTGGCTATCTGCGGGGCAAACATGGCTGCTGGATACACAACGGAAGAGGTCCCAACCTGCGGAGAGAGTGTCATTGTCAGATACTACAAACAGTTTGCTGGTTTTATTTGTTTGATGTTAAACGCTGCACTCAGCCATATTCCAGTTGTATAACAAAGACCTGTAAATGGTGGAATCTGGCCCGACATGCCAGCAACCTGTCCAAATGATCTGATCGATAATCAAGATCTTTATTGTAATCAAACGAGTCTTACCTTAAGTGCATCAAATCACTTGAGCAACTTGATTAATATCAATCCTGCTTATCCTGCAATCCACCGAAATCACGGCAGTCGCAAAGTTGTTTATTAACCTGATGTCGATTTAGTTATGTGATTTTGATTGGACTATGCATAGACTCGTTAGTACAGTCAAACTGTAACTCCATTATTCAAGCCTAGTTCGGCAATGGTGGAAACTGGACTTCTATAGTCAGTTAACTCCACTGCCTCGGGAACATGTGATATATGAGACTAGCTGAACTTACTAGACAGAAAGACTTACTTCCCTTTTGCTTCAGATAGAAGGAATTAATCGAAAAAAGAGTGACATTGGTCCAGTGACTTTAAAAGAGTGTGAAACCATGTATTCAAAAGGAATTTTATAGAAAAACTGTAAAACTGGTTCGACCATCATCAATAAACCCATGGTCTGCGTAAACACACATGGTACAACATAAACTAATCACATGCCCTGACCTCACGACCTGATCTCATGAGCTGATCACATGGACTGAAGAGAAGGACTAACCACAAGGACTGATCACATGAACTGATCATATGGCCTGATCACATGAACTGATCACATGGACTGATCACATAGAATGATCACATGGGCTGACCACATGGACTGACCACATGGCATGATCACATGGTCTGATCACATTGCCTGACCACATGGACTGACCACATTGCCTGATCACATTGTCTGACCACATGGCCTGATCACATAGCCTGACCACATTGCCTGATCACATGACCTGACCTCACAAACTGATCACATGAACTGATGACATGGCCTGACCACATGGCCTGATCACATGACCTGACCTCACAAACTGATCACATGAACTGATGACATGGCCTGACCACATGGCCTGATCACATGACCTGACCTCACAAACTGATCACATGAACTGATGACATGGCCTGACCACATGGCCTGATCACATGACCTGACCTCACAAACTGATCACATGAACTGATGACATGGCCTGACCACATGGCCTGATCACATGAACTGATCACATGACCTGACCTCACAAACTGATCACATGACCTGACCTCACAAACTGATCACATGGCCTGACCACATTGCCTGATCACATGGACAAACATAATGAACTGATACATGGACTTACCACCAGACAAAGGTCACACTTGTCCATCTCCTCTCCGGATTGTTTCATGACTTCCTGGTCGAGGGATTCACCGAACCAAACCACATGAGGTCTCAGCAGTCCACCACACCCAGATTTCTTACACCTGAAATATACTGAATGGAGTCAAAATCTGGAAATCACCTGCACAAGTCAATCATTCATAAGTAAGTCAAGTATCCTAATGCTGCTGATGGTTGTGAAGTATGAAGTTATATTTAACATATAATCTGCATCGTGTGTAAATTTCAGTCAACTGAACACTGATACCAAAACTGCCACGGGAGACATTGCCAGTGTAAAATCATTAATTTGTTTGGTTGTTTGTTGTTTAACGCTGCACTCAGCAATAATCTAGCTATATGACGGCAGCATGGGTTGCTGAAGACCTATTCTTCCCTGGATCTTCACTTGTGTATAATCATTGAAATTGCAGCACAATACTTTGCAGATCATTGTGACATCATCGGTTACCAAATAACACCACTCTCAAATTACATGACTAACCTCTATGCCACTGAAGCTGGTTAGCTATAAGTTGTACAGTCAAGACAATGGTTATTACTGTATACAAACTGGAGAAGAAAAATGGTCTTGGATGATAAATAGATCTCACCCTTGTGTTTTTATAATATTATATAAAATATATCAACACTTGTCAATAAAGGCTTCATAGTTTTAAACTAGTATGAACTCATGTTGTTATATTTGATACCAAAAGACACTCCATATAGTGTGTCGTGTGTGGGGGGTGGGGGGGTTGGAGAAGAAGAAGAGGTAAGTAGATAAAATTTGACATCAAATCAGCAATTTTTCTGCTTTGTAGCTGCCCATGCAGAGATACTTACATAACATAATGCACATAAATTCACCTTTTTCCACTTTCAAACAATCAGAATAACAGCTGTTTGAAGCTCTTCATCAATAAACAGATGTCACATCTTCATCAATATACAGTAGTAGCAGTAGTTGATGTACATCTACAACACATGTAAAGTTTGACCCTTAATTATCTTGATCATGAAAACCCCATTCATAAGTCAACATGACCAAAACTGAAGCCAATGTCACAGCTTACTTTGGAAGCTGGTCGATAGGTACTTGGGCGTCAGGCGAATCAGGCTCTGGTGCACTGAAAATTCAAACATAGAGAAAACAAAAATATAAAATATTCAAGATTTTTATCTTAAATGAGGATTAAGATTTCCAAGTTACCTAAAGTAAAACCTTGTTGTACTGCTCTGAGTGAAATTGTCTGTTTTGGTATATTTTTGGGTAAGGAATTATTGGAGAAGATCAGTGTTGCTGTAGATATATACAGTCACTGCCAAAAAGATAGGAAGTTTGTTTTCCACACTCACAGGGTCAAGCCTAACAGGTTCAGACCCGTGAAGATCTGGGGTAGAATAGGTCTTCAGCAACCCATGCTTGTCGTAAAAGGCGACTAACGGGATCGGGTGGTCAGACTCGCTGACTTGGTTGATGCATGTCATTGATCCCACATTACGAGGATCGATGCTCATGATATTAATCACTGGATTGTCTGGTCCAGACCCAATTATTTACAGACTGCCGTCATATAGCTGGAATATTGCTGAGTGCGGCGTTAAACAACAAACCAACCAACCAACCAACCAACAACCAGCCTAACAGGTTCAAGACAAACAAAGGTTTGCTGTAGCAGTTGTTGTCATGGAGATTCATGAGAGAAATTTCAAAGGTACCAGGGAGTTATTTGGGATTCCAAACTAAGTGCCTATGGCAGGCAAAATGGCAAAAACCTAATTTGCCAATGATTTATTTTCTTATATATAGAACTATGTTGACATTGCATTTACTACAATAATGGAAACCTAAATATCAATGTCTTTTCCTCATTACCAGTGATAATGAAACAATGAACTAGACATCCGGTTCGTAAACAACTTGGATTTCAAAGTGCAGAATACGGTCGACTGACAAAGCATGTGTACTCTCAACTGGGTGTCGACAGATATTTTGCAAATCTTTTCATGCTTTCATAAGGTGTTCAAATGATTGTTTGCACTTCGGGGATAAGACCTGTTTTAACACAACATAGATCCTGATTATCGATCAGATTGTCTATACTGGGTGCCATCATTTTTTTAAAGCAAATACAAGTGATATGACACGTGATAGCCACTGGTGGTGCTACGATCGAGCCTCGAAATTCCACTCTATAGTCAGTTAACACACCCTTGCCTCAGGAAGATGATCTGGTTAAGGCATAGGGAAGATCTCTGAGAATGCCCTGATAAAGTCCTGTGTGCATATTTTATTTTCCACTCAACACAAATCAAAAGTATGTACTGTTAAATACTGTATCGTACCTAACTCTATCTTGATCAATATGGACCCATACACTACAATAGCTTTGTTTTAAACCTGAGTTTAGTGTCAGGACACTTAGCTGCCCAATCAAACTACACTTCTAAATTAGAGAAATCTTGTGCTTTGTTGGTGATAAAACAGATGAAGATGTTAACACCACTTCCGAAATGAAGCTTTGGTGTTGGATGGGTCCAGCATATTTATCATAACAGGAGGAGGATGTTATTCCCTGAATTTTTCAATGAAGCGTTAAGCATTTAGATTGTTTTGATATAGAAACAGGCTCACCCTTTGCCTCTCAAGCTTTCACAAATCGGACTGTCTCTGTTCACAGTCACATCACCACATTTGGTGCATCGAACCTTGAATAACGATCCTGAAATGAAATATAAAGATACTTCTGAGATAGAATAGGTCCCCAGCAACCAAGCTGGTTGTAAAAGACGACTTCATGGATCAAGTGGTCAGACTTGGTGACATGCTCGAGTGCATGCCATTGTACCCCAATGGCATGAATTGCTGCTCAATATGACCCTCACGGGATTGTCTGGCCCTGATGTGATTATTTACAGACCACAGTCAGGTACTTTGAAGATTGTGTCGTCTAAACAACAAGAAAAGATCAAAATGTCTCTGTAGCTCACCTAACCTTTTTTGTAATGTTCAGAGGGGATGTAAAATGTAAGAATTAGGTCATTTAAGACAACAGGTCATATGGTTCAGGTGAGCTTTTCAATTGATTAAAGGTAAAAATGAGATGTTAAGAATCAGATTGTAATTCTGGTGGCATTGTTAGAGACAGGATGGGTGTTTCAGCTTCACAGATATTACACTATCAGAAGAGATGTTAAAGTTATTGATGTCATACTCATGTATGATGGGAAGCTCCACTTCAGCATAAGGTGACAGTCATTAGGTATATTTGAAGAACTTCATAAGTACACAACTTAAAGATTTATAAGCATGATAAGGTCATGGGAAGAGAATTCTGACAACTACTGCCCCCACTTGCATAAAGCGATCTTAGCGCTAAGATGATCATAACTACCATACTTTAACATAGGCTTACAATAGTCTTAGCGCTTAGATCGCTTTGTGCTAGTGGGCCCTGGATTGTAGAAAATGTTCAATGCATTAAAATCTTTAAATCTTCTATTAAGGAACGTGAGCAAGAATGTATCTGGCTTTTGATACTAAACCCAGAGAGAGCTAAGCAGTTGGGAGCTGAACTTTTTGTCTTGAAGATCTCTCCGATTATATATGATATAGACCACAGACAGACTTGCATTGTCCGTTGAGAAATATAAACATTTATTCGACTAGCATTTCCTAATATAGGTGCTGCCCGGTACATATTGTCTCTGACACAAGAACCAAAGGTGACTGTTATCTTCCATCACATCTGCTGAATCACAGACATGCCACATTGGGGAACACGACATGTATACCAATCATTTCTTTAAGTGGCACTTTAGCAGCTGTAGTAACAATGAAGACAGAGTTGATCTGTGGATTTCAGCTGCAATGTTTTGATACAGATGCTACCTTTATAAAGTAAGTGATAACAACTGACAAGGGCATGGTTATATGGCGAAGAAGTACACATACTGAATAAAAAAATACTGAGCCACACAAATCAATTTATATTTTGAATGACCATAGTTAAATGGCTGCCAAAAATCTGTATACCATAAAATAAAATGTGTCCGCAGTCCCCGGAGATACAAGGATTACTCACCATGCAGTTCTTGTATGTTCTGTGTCCCTGCAGTGCGGTGGAGCTCATCAATGTTCTGCGTTATAACTACCACACGACGCCCCTGTGATGCTAGCCGCTTCTCACATTCTGCTATAGCCTTGTGAGCCTGAGGAAAGACAGGTTTTGTTTTGCAGAGCTACAGATGAGCTGCGTATTTGCGTAAATACTCGCCCAAAATATTCAAAACCCAATTACTTTCAATCATCTTGCGTACAAAAACGTGTGCATGTAAATGTATAAAAACAGCACGCATAAATACCCAATGAAGCTTTTTTAGCCTGCGTACAACGGAACTAATTTCCGAAACACAATTATTAGCTAATTTACTTTCTGAGTGAAGCTTATATATTTAGAACAGTTATATACATCTAAAACATTATTTCATATTTTTTAAGTGTTAAAATGTTCACTAATTTGGGGAAAAACCTGATAGAGTGATGAATGGATGAATGAAATAATATTGGTTACCCAATTGAAAATGTTATAACCCAATTAGAATAGAAACCCAAGAGTAAAAACTCAATTGCTCAAAAAGTTATCTGGAGCTCTGTTTTTGTGAATTGAAAGGGACAGATCAATTTTGTCTATGAAATATCTTGCCTATATTTTCCAAAATGGGGCTTTTTAAGATGTCAAACTCAATTCAACCTTGACAAACCTTTGAAAAGAAATGAAAAAATACAATGATATACAAAAACAAATGAAAATATCTTCTAAAAATATGATCAAGAGCTTAATAATTGTTATCAGGCATCATGTTGATGGTAACTATGGTAACATATATGCTGGGTTTTCGGCAATGAGTGAGTTTTCATATTTTCAAGCAATTATAACTTTTGTATTATGCTTCACCATGTTCGTACATCCTATCACTTTTGTACCTCATCATTTTTGTTTTATGTTTCATTTTATATACATCATACATCATTGTTCATAACTCTCATATATTGATCGGTTTTCAAGATCTGCTCCAGAAACAAGCACCACTCTCATTTTAAGTCTAAGTCAAATTTGTTGCCATGGAAACTGAAATAAATTCTTCTAAACATATAATTATTCTAATTATAAGTGCCTCCAAGCTGCTAGTTATTAATTCTTTGATTTTTTGGATGGAACACTTACGAATCTGGACACTTCTCACCCCAATGCTTAACGAATTAAGATTTCTATCTGACAACTCTGACACTTTTGAACAGCTTCTTTAAAGCCCAAAATTTGCACCTTTCTGAATATACTGGTCGCCTTCCTTGCAACCCAAAGTACTTTGACATGTATGAGAGACAGTAACTGATCCATGACATTGTTTTAAATGCCAACACGTTTTTGAGATACCATAAACATCTAGTGCCACTGTTTACCCGGTAAAAGTAAAATATAAAAGGCTAAGCTCCATAACTTTCATAATGTCTACAGTTCGCACACACCACAAGGGTGAAGTAATAGATAAGAGCCTAAGCTCCATACCTAGAACTTTCATAATGTCTACAGTTCGCACACACCACAAGGGTGAAGTAATAGATAAGAGGCTAAGCTCCATACCTAGAACTTTCATAACGTCTACAGTTCGCACACACCACAAGGGTGAAGTAAAAGATAAGAGGCTAAGCTCCATACCTAGACCTTTCATAATGTCTACAGTTCGCACACACCACAAGGGTGAAGTAAAAGATAAGAGGCTAAGCTCCATACCTAGACCTTTCATAATGTCTACAGTTCGCACACACCACAAGGGTGAAGTAAAAGATAAGGGGCTAAGCTCCATACCTAGACCTTTCATAATGTCTACAGCTCGCAAACACCCCAGGGGTGTCAGATGACGTCATAACAATTGAAGTGAGATAAATGATGCATTTAAATAAACTTGATTTGAAGGACCGACCAATATTTATTTTTTCCTTGTAACTTGAAAAAAAATATAATCCTATGTCTTACCTTCAAGAATATCAAATGATCAGTCCTTACCTGGGAAACTTGATAATCATTGTTTGGTTTTTCATGCCACTATAGCCATATTTCAGTCATGTCACCATGCTGTAATAATATAATCTGGGCGAGGTGAACCAGTGATTGATAGCATGAGCAGCATCCATAGTCACCCAAATCATAGAGCTTGACCCCCTAATCCCCATCTTAGCCAACTCTTACAACATGAATTGCACTTGTTCAGACCTGGATCCCTACATTGTGGACATCCAATCCCCACTCAGTATGTCTGTTACAACTTGCAAGCAGGGGTACAGGGGATCTATTCTGCTTGTGTGAGAAAAGTCAACTAACCGGATTTGGGCTTTTGCTCAGCATGACTTCGCGCCTATAATGGTAGAACTCCCACACCAGCGATGGGTTCTGCTCAAATGCCTCAGGGGTTGCCAGATTCTGAAAGAGAAATATCATGATACCAGCACAGTGTTCCTGCTGGCTTTTGACACTGTCAGTCCTAGTGGGCTGGCAACTCTAAAAAGTACCAGTCCTAATTTTTGTCAGTCCAAACTTTCAACAAAGAAACAAATGTATTAAAATAACCTTGTTTAAATTCTTTCAACATCATGTTTCAGTGCAATGATGTCATCTCTGAAGTAACTTAGATCTACACATCATTCACACAAACTTCAGTCACAATTTTCTCTTTTCTTTTCAATATTTTGAGACAAAATCACTACAAATGGATATTTCACCTCGAAGCAAAGCAAAATGTTATTTCCTCGCACTAAAAATAGACAAGGGGAAACTCTGATGGTAACAGACCAGCTACCATTGTTTGAAAAATATTCTCATATGAATATCGCTGATGTCTTGTTCAACAACAAAGATTTTTAAGGTACTTTATTTACTGACTGGCAGCCACATGAATTACCGGTCCAATCCAAGCCTAAATTAATTACTGGTAAATGGGAACACTGTAGCAGCAGAAATTCTTTCGCATTTGTGTTCAGCAGATTGTTTGTTATGTAGCCATTATAATGACCTTGCATCTGTTGAATAGTGACTGTTGGTGACCAACTTAGCTTTTTACAACATTTTACAACATCAATACATCTGCTAATTGAATTTGGTTACAATTCATCACTGTTTGTATCACAATCACCCTCAAACTGTCATTTCCAGATCAGTACTAGCCGTCCTCATTCGTCCTTGACCTTCATGCTAACTTTTGACCAAGTCATCAAGCCTGATCACCAGATCCATTAAGTCGTCGGTCTCGTACAACAAGTATAGGCAGGCAGGTATTGGTGTCTCCAACGCGGAATGCCCATGTGAGATCACATGGTGAACTTTAATTGCACATCTTTAACTTACCACAGATGTTCTCTTATTAATGTGTAATTTATACGGATGACAATTTATATGGTCATGCAATTCAAAATGATTCAATACAGACCTATTGGATACATACATATTCATCATAAAGGAATGGAGACATATGTAATCATGGCAGGCCTCAAAGTTGCGACTAAAACGGTCGTCAATGCGAACTAAATTTCAGTTTGTCTACTGTCTAAGATTCAGAGGAAGCCAAATGACTACCTTGAAAAATATCTTGTGGCGACTAAATTCTATTGCTACATGTATGGGTAAGTGAGTGAGTGAGTGTGGTTTTACGCAACTTTTAGCAATATTCCAGCAATATCATGGCGGACACCAGAAATGGGCTTCACACATTGTACCCATGTCAGGAATCGAACCTGGGTCTTCAGTTTGATGAGCGAACGCTTTAACCACTAGGTTAACCGACCGCCCCGCTACATGTATGGATATACAAAAAGTAAATAACATCTGATTATGGAAAACATGTCTGCTAATAATTATACTTGTGAATAATTCCTCCTACAGTCGACAATAAACTGAAGTACATAAATATTAATGTAATTAGTATTTTATTTCAGTTGACAATGCACATTTGATAAGCAAGAATATACCTACATAATCTTGTAACATTAATTGTAACATCATAGTTAGAGTCACAAATAACAAAGATCAAGTACAGTTTCTACTAAAATACAATTCCAAGACTAGTGCTATGACTTGTACATATTATATAGTTATTTGAAAAAAGATAATTTCAAATGCCTTTGGCTACCTACAATATTGACTTGACGTCTTGATTTTACCACTGGCTACATGGAAAAAAAATACTTGTAGCCATATGGCTACTTGGTAAAAATTTAAAGTTTGAGGCCTGCATGGTAATACTCTTACCTGAGCTTGGTACTTCCGCCAGAAGCCTCCCGCTCCTCTGAATGTGGGGACACCACTCTCTGCACTCACTCCCGCCCCAGTCAACACAACAATGTGTTTCGCCTTTGCAAATTCCTTCCGGAAAGCTGCCATATCAGAGCTTGGTTGCTTAAATGTACACAGTTAAGACATTATCATCATGAATAATCTTAGGGAATGTGAATCTCAGACCATTAATATTTATTCCTTGGATCAGATTGCTTCCGAAGCCGGAAGAAGTGCATATGTTTTTCATCAGCCTAAACCTAAATACCTTCAACAGTTCAAGTCCAAACTCAATATGTGTGCAAATAGAGGTGTTTTTCTCAGAAGATTAAGGGAGGTAACTTTAGCAAAGAGTGTATATGAACTAAAAGGGACATAACTCTCAAATTATTATGCATGTAATCAACTTAACAAAATATTAACAATATAATTGCATATAATGTTACTCTCAAAATATTATAACATCTGGTACTTAAACAAAATTAGTGTTCAATTAGAATAATCCAACTTTTATCCATCTAAACAGACCTAACCAAACAACTTTATGCCGAGTTAAATATTGTTGTGCATATCTATTTTAATTTTATTTTGACCTACACAACATCATTGTAAACAAAAAACTGTGATTTGGGTCCCTGTCAAAGAGAGACAGGACTGATGTCTGAAATAATAACAGGTGTTGAAATGCATCTAACATTGTCTGAAAACACCAAAATCCCCTTCCTGACAAAGAACAAGTTCAGCCATGTTAATTGAGGTTAGAATGGTTAATTCATTTTCAATGTAATAAGGTATTGGTTCTAGATAAGACTTTAAAGGGTTAAAGGGAAATCATTCATGATAAGTGTCTTTGGGATTCCATTCAATTCAGCTGTTTCATGCTGATCCAATCGATTGGACAATTTTTATAGAAAATCCGGGGTAAAATAGGTCTTGAGCAACCCATGCTTGCAGTAGAAGGTGACTATGCTTGTCATAAGAGGCGATTAATGGGATCGGCTGGTCAGACTCCAGACTTGGTTGATTCATGTCATCGTATCCCAATTGCATGGATCGATGCTCATGATTTCATTCACTGGATTGTCTGGTCCAGACTCGATTACTTACAGACCGCCATCATACAGCTGGAATATTGCTAAGTGCGGCATTAAACAACAAACAAACAAATAAAACAAACAAAGTTTTAGAGATGACACATATTCAATTCAGGTATGTATCAATTATGAGGTGAGGTGAAACAGGGTTTGATGCTGTGTCCATGATTATTTCACTCATACAGCAACATACATGTACATAGACATGGGTGCAGCTGCTAGTACATGTCTGGACTTGCCCCTGTTATACAGTGCTAGTCCACTGATAGAGATACCATGCTAGAGTTTAAAATGGATATCCGCCTCTGTTTCTCTGGGACTTGTGTCATACATTTCCTCACTCTCACTCAGGAAATACCAATATTTTGCCAATAGTTTCATGAAACAGTATGACACACACACTCATGTAATAATATTTATTGAAGTGATTACTAAACCAATCAGTTCACTTTGGAGGATAATAAGTCATTCCCTGCTGTCTGTGTGTTTTTCTTTAAGTTTTCAGTCCCTGCTGTATTCCGCGAAAATCAGTGGTCGCTGAAGATTTTGCAAAAAGTCCCACAGAAATGTAGCTATCTTCCAGAAAATCATATTTTGTGCAGAAATTTGCATTTAGCTGCCGAGGAATTACAGAATTTTAACATGTGAGTCAAAAGATGGTTTTAAACATGTAAACAGATATTTATTTCGTTTTGAAGTGAAGCTGACATTTGCCTTAATGCTTACCGAAAGTGAATGTCTGCATGTTTACATAGTGCTCACCAGATTCACTAGAATAAGCTATTCTTGCAGAAGATAAGTTTATCATAAACATGCATGCCAGAAGTTAAACCGGTGCAAAACTATGACATTCATGAAAAGTAAGCTTAAAAGTTGGCAGAATTGTATGCAGAATTATCAAAGTCAGAATTTACAAACTTCGACTGAAGATTTTAAAAATATTTTTGGCCGTGGGATACAGCTGGGACTGAGCTGTGTACATGAGACTAATGCAGGTCCTGGGCCTAGAGGTTTGTTCCTACAGTATCTGAGTCTAGGGACCCACTTCGTCATGCTATGTTGTTGTTTGTGGTTTAATGCCACGTTCTGCTGCAAAATTCCAGGTATGTCTGGATCAGACAATCCAGTGATGATATTGTAAACAAAAACAGTATTACCTTAATGCAAACGTTCAACTAAATAAAGTGAGAAATGATCTAAATTAGTGGGTATACTGAGAAAATATGTAAATAAATTATTTCTTTGGCTTTGATCAATAATTAAACTAAAATCTTCTAGGTACTGCAGTCTCAGATGAATAATATTTCTTCTAAGCACTTCTATTTGTCACTGTGTTAACTCCCATTAATAAAAGTTTATTATGGTGACAAATAGAGTCGGAGTTTCTTGACCACAAGGTTGTTCCCAACAAAATAGAGGAGGCTGACCGGTCAAAATTTAAGAATGTCCGGACAATACTTTTTAAAATGTCCGGTAAGCAATATTTTAAAACGGACATTTGAGATTCCCAATCGGACATGTCCGGCGCATATGACGGTTTCCGGACCCCTGGGCTCGTATGGTGCTATAAATAAGTTTACAAAATGTGAAGGATAGTCCTTCTCAGTAAGCACCCGCCCCGAGTATCCGAGTTACCCGCCACAGTTGCTGGGGATCAAATCTATCCCGGAACCCGGTTCAGGAACCCTCCTCTTTCGTACACTTATTGCATAAAGGCAATGGCAAGGATCCCCTAAATCTTTTATTATTTAGATTTTGATAATCTAAGTTTTAGGGTTTGAAGTTTTATTACAAGGACACCCTAAATCTTTGACCTCAGTCACTTCTTTTTTAAAGGGCAACAACACTCCAACTTTGAAAGTATTGATAGGCTTTTTCTTCGCAGATTCAAAATTTTCTATTTATAGACTATAATCTTGACTGGTTTGTCCTGAGTTTGGCGCTATTCTCGCTGCACTGCGTGAAGCAGCATCTATCGAAGGATCGAGTGTGAGTGAGTGAGTTGGGTTTAACGCTGCTTTTAACAGTATTTCAGTTATATAACGGTGTGTCAGCTTAATGTGGGAGGAAAGCCCGAGGTGATGCAGGTCTCAGACGTTTATCACTTCGGTGAAACCCACGAGTACGGGTATGGTGCTGACAAACCTAGAAACATAATAGGGGCGACTCCCCCCTACACACCATAGACAATTATATAATACACGTATGTATATAGCTACATGACCAGACAACCATCTAGCAATATGACACTATGTCATATTATATTGAATTGTAAACATAAATGTTGCTACTTAAAAAGAAAAAGGTTAATTTATAGTGTCAATCTTCTGTATACCATTTTACAGGTCTTGGCACGATTCCCATGCTTGTAACATAAGAGGCAACCATTACATGTAGGCATACTGGATGAAAACCCTCATGCCCCACTGCCTATGAAACAGAAGACAGTGTACCTACCTGTCTCCCCGCCATGCTGAACGTCCAACAATTGCCAGAAGACATGAGGAAATCTTTCCTCCGTGACAACGGCTTGATATGTCTGATCAGAGATGCACACAGCGACCCGGATCTACTGGAGAACATCTAAACTTCCTTGTTAAAAGAAAAGGTTGTTGCACAATCAACCATGTAGTACTTGTCTACTTATATTCCTTGTCATAAAACTTGAAAGTAATTCGACATGTCTGCTGGTTGTCTGACTGCGTGTGATCTAGGAGTAGGCCTACATTTGTTCAGGACCTGCTGCTTGCATTAAAGATTACGTCATGTGGCATTCTTTTTCCCAAGACACTTGCAAGAGGTGAGTTGTGCATGCAAAACAGGATCAAAGAATCTACAAGCTGAAACTTGCGGGATATTGGTCAAAATACTGCAAGTGACATTTCGCTTTGATCAGAGATGAGGGTAAATAATTTAGAGTTACTTCCCTTTGCAACACAAGCTCTTTCCCAGCGCGTGACACCTTCGAGACACTCCCGCCGTGGGGAGCTTGGTAGTGAGTAAGTGAGTTGGGTTTAACGCCGCTTTTAACAGTATTCCAGTCATATCACGGCGTGTCAGCTTAATGTGGGAGCAAAGCCCGAAGTGATGCAGGTCTCAGACGTTTACCACTTCGGTGAAACCCACGAGCACGGGTATGGTGCTGACAAACCTAGAAACATACTTGTGGCGGACCGGGATTTGAACCCACAATCATATAGGTTTCTGCACAGCGAATCGCGGCGCCTCAGACGACTGGGCCACCCGTGTCCCCTACCACACGGTAGACAAGACAAGACATACATCTCACAAAAGACAAACAGCTGGAGTTTACAGTGATGGTTAGTTCAGCTGTACAAGGAAAACATATTAAGAAGACATAGATAGAAAAATAATTGTATAAATACAAATAATATTGAAGCAGCATTTAGAAACGACCACATAAATTTATAGATCTAGTTATATCCATATCCAGGAGAAGGCCTCCTGTCAGGAATAACGTCTACAGCCGCATCACTGTGGTAATCTATAAATCATTATATTATATGGACGCTGATAATCTACAGCATAAAGTGCATAATTAAACTTACCAATAATAATAGATGTTTGTATGTGCATCTAAACTCACAACAGCTAGACCTATGAAGAGCCCCCTTTTGGTAAGCGGAATTCCGGGGTCCATGTCGAACAATCGTGTTTAATCTCAGATTCATCATTTTAAACAAATAAATGGTGTACTTACAACATTCCGTTATAATTCATTTTTTTCGATATTTTAAAAGTGATTGAACTTCAAGTCGCACCCTTTTCCCAATAATGCTTTTGGGATTTGTGTTAAGTAGTATTTGGGAATCAGGGGTGAGCAATGAGACTCAGAGTGAAAAAATACATGATATTCCGGATTCAGGGGAGGACGGGGTTGACACCCTCCAGATATACGTCATTGTCTAATTTTCACTGACTAGATCTTTATAAGCTCCCTGAATTAATCAGCAGATCAACTGGTCAATCTCTATTTTCGGTTCATTTGGAAGAAGGGATGATGGTCAGCTGCTTGCGCACAAACTAAAGGTTCTCTCAAAGTAAACTTAGGTCAAAATTGGAAATTCTAGACTAGTGTAGGTTCCCTAAAAGTAAGTATGGGGTCAAAATAAGAAATTCTTGTCGACCATGTTTTTCCAGAAAATACTCGATTCTGAATGGCCCAGGCTATGGGGTTTTCAATTCACACCATCAAGTTTACGGTATGATAAATAAGACAAAACAGGAATAGGGGTGGTCACAAAATCAAAACCGGGACGTTAAAAAATATCAGACAGCTTTGATACAGGGTGATTAGGCGTATAGTGTACAGGCTTTGTGAGCAGAAGGTAACCCTGACTTGTAGTAGAATTTGGGAGGAAATAAAAAAGATACAATTAATGTATAGCTCTCCAAGAGATGGGATTTCGATACACTGCCCGTGGCGATGACCGAGCAGTTTTCAGGGGAAAATATTCCATCCTGTCAATGAGGTCTCTTTATCTCCGAGCCATTCATAACTATCACAGTCAGGGCGACCCAGATAATTTACCTTGATGAATCATTCCATTGACTATATGTGGCTATCGGCAGATGGACAAAAAGCACCCATGGTACCATCAGGTAAAGGTAATCGTGTCATTGTTTTGCACGCCGCAACCCATGACGTGGGGCTTATTGATGGATGTGTGATAGTTTTCGAGGCGAAAACGAAAGCTGGTGACTTTCCTAAGGAAATTATAGGAGGTGATGTGTTCATAGACTGGTTTGAACATCAGCTATTGCCCATGTTAAACAACGTCAGTGTCATTGTCATGGATAACGCCAGTTAATATAACGCCCGGGAATCAGATACTGTCGCGTCAACCATGATTAGCCTGAAGGCGACCATACAGGAATATATGACATTGTCGACTTCAGACCATCTGAAACGAAAGTTAAACTCATGGAGAAAATTCGGCTGAATAAGAAACCAGTAACATATGTGCGGTCACGATGTCTTACGTACGCCCAGTCAGACATTGTGAGCTCAACCCTGTTGTGTCTATCTTGGCTAACTGTACAGGGTTCGTAGCAAGACATAACACAACATTCAAAAGTACAGATTTATATACGTCATCAGCGGACACAAATGCTACCTCAAGAAACCTTTAAAAAGATGGTACTTGTTGTTTCCCTGTCTGGCGCACGGCATTTAGGGGCTAAAACAGGGACTAGTCGGCTCGGAGTAAGTATACTGTGTCTGACAATCAGGTGATCGACATCATGAGCATCGATCTAAACATTTGGGATACGATGACATGCATCAACGAGCCTGACCACCCGATCCTTTAGTCGCGACTTACAAGCTTAGTCGCCCCTTACGGCAAGTTCGGGTTGCTGAAGACCTATTCTTGCGTGGATCATCACGGTGCCAATATGAAAAGAAAACACACATAATTTTATGATAAAACAAACTTTTAGCATGCATGCCGCGCTACGCTGTAGATAGTACGAATAGGCGTAATAAAATAACATGTGCGCGTCTTGTCAAATCAAAATAAACAACCTACACATGTGTCTCATTTTCTTTGAATTCAAAGACATAAATTACATGGTAAAAAGGGGCGGTGGGGTAGCCTAGTGGTCAAAGCGTACGCTCGTAACGCCGATGACCCGGTTTGATTCACCACATGGGTACAAGGTGCGATGCCCATTTCTGGTGTCCCGTCGTGATATTGGTTGAATATTACTAAAAGTGGCGTTAAACAAGACCCACACAATAACATGGTACAATTCAATATTGTGTCGTAAAAGCTTCAAATTCTGTTTTACGAATCGAGTCTTTTTCTTACTTACTTGAAAGAAACTGCGAAGGGCCATTTCATTAAGTACATTAGTGGGAAATACAAAGTTCAAGAAACGTAAACATTTATATATAAAACGAGGTCGTTAATTGACGCCAAATGTCGTCACGTGGTATAGGTCAGTTCGCACGCTACGTCACGTGACTTAATTTGTCGTCTGCTTCATTTCCGGAGGAATTCGGAAAATCGAAAGGTTTGCCGACTGCCGTCAAAAGATAATTCTATGTTATGGTATTTAGGAGGACAAAATGCTAAAAGAACTGGGAATATTTTATTTTGAGAATACAGAAGCACGGTCTACACATTTGTGGAGACTTCATGAAAATGTACCCTCCCACTGACGTGTAAGAAAGATCAGAATTCGTGATAACACTGTGAAACATCGCCTGGCATGGGCTCGAGGACAGCGATGGGAAACTGGCGCTAATCACTGCAGTAAATTTATCCTTTCTCATGAATGCAAGGTTATTCTTGGAGAAAACAATCGCGAGTATGTTTGGAGATGTGTCAGGCAGAGAATACCTACCCCAGTGTCCTTGTTGGCAGCCCAGAGTCAGTTTGCCGATATGAGTTTGTATTACCTGGCATGGGGAACATTGACTGTAAATGGAAACATAATTGCTCACAAATAGAAGGGCATAACTGATTGTCACTTGTGGCCAGTAATAGGCGAGATATTTCTCGGGGAACAATTACATTTTCCAGGATGATATAATACGCCAGTTCATAGAGCCCGTGTAGTTTAGAATAAGAGAAACCCAGAACAACAAAAATGGAATGCTGTGGCCGGCGCAATCACCAGATGCCAATACTATTAAGACTTTTGGGTTTCTATTGGAAAACAAGTTTCAGTGACAACGAGAAAGCATAAGAAATGCAGTTGAACTGGAGAGAGGGATTCTTGGAACATGGAGGATATTAACGACCAATGGCCAAGTGTCCAAATATTGAGGTAAGAAACATTATTTATTATTCAATCTCATTTTGAAATTGTGCTCCTCTACACGCCGATCAGGTTGGCTGAACGTAATAATATGGCCAGTTGCTGTATTATATTCAGAGGTTCTTATATATGGCAGTTTTCAAGTTTTCATGTCATATCCAACATCAACCCGAGGCACCCAAGTCAGCCCGAGGGTCGACGATCAGAGGGTTTATATTGGGTATGATATGAAAACTGCCATATAATAACCTTTTTATCAAATACCATAACATCAAATTGTAAAATGAATGCATTCTTAAAACATCTCTAAATTCCGTGGATGGAAGACATTTTCACGGGAAAGCTAGCCAAGCAGACGACGCACAAAGGGAGGTAACTCTAATTTCTGACCAGCGAGCTGAAAGCGATCGCCCATTCAAAATGTATTGACTGGCAAATCCAGGCCGACAGGGTCTGATTATTACACCCTCTGTGATATGCCCGTCTCCATGTTGACTCTATCGCACATGCAAAATACCTCATATCATCGATGCATATAAGATAAAAATAAATATAGAGATGTCGTCTTTCTCCGACGTCGCCAAAGACGTACATTTTCAGTCATTCGGTGTATTTATTCCCCGCCACGAAGTGGAAGGGGGATATAGGAATGGGTGCCGTCCGTCCGTCTTTCCGTCCGTCCGTCACATTTCGATTCCGGAGCAGAACACTTAAACCATGAGAGATATCTTAACCAAACTTGGCACATAGATAGGTCTAGTGGTGAACTGGTGCCTTTTGATAGTTTGGGATTTCAAAAAATATATTTTTCGAGTTTCCATGGAAACAAATTTGACTTAGACTGAAAATGGCGGTAGTCCTCGTTTCCGGAGCAGATCTTGAAAACCGTACCATATTTCTTCACCAAACTTGGCACATAATGTCATCTCATAGCATTGAATACATTTCCTTTCTTGTTGGCAAGTTCTGCATTGCCTGTGTTTATGTTCCTCACTTACTAACTTCATGCAGAAACTTCAGGATCTTCCCAAGCACCATGAATATGAACATGTCCTAGTTACTGGGGATTTCAACTGTGATCTGAGTGAAAAACTGAAACTTGAAGATTTCTTTTATGTGCGGAATATGACTA